GGGTAAGGTGCTGATGTCCAATCTGGAACCCAGGATGGGAATGTGTGATCCGAAGACCGCCCACTTCTGTACAGTAGCTCCATCATATGGCCATTCTTGACGAATGTGCATGCGTATCGCCAGATAATATCTTCTAGTGGAGCTGTGTAATCTGGACGGAGTTCCTCACAGTTATCGCTGGCTAGGTTTAGTAGTGCAAACAATTTGTCTCGTCTCTGGGTCGCCTCGTTCAACTGGAAGTGCTCAAATAGCGATAGTAGTTGATATTTTGCTTCAAATTCTCCACTCACCCAGCAGTCCTTCCGGAGCTTATCGAGACGCAGGACAGAGCCTGCGCTACTCCCTCGAGAAATGAGTAGGTCTGAGCTGTATTGCTCAGCATGTTGAAAAAGCCGTGAGACTATATCACAGAAATGACCCCACGGAACACACTGATCACCACACCAGACGATAACGTCTCTCGCTAGAACTATTTCCTGCACAACCCATATTCGCCGGAACCATTTGCGTTCAAGCAGCTTGCATAGGTTATTCCAGAATGTGCGCACTATGGGCGGGATTAGGTCGTCTCCACTGCGAGGTGGCATAGTGAGTTCCAACGATTGCCTTGCAATTTCGTTTATGGTATTGAGAACCTCAAGACTGCCATCTTCATCCTCGCCAATCCACGCGTATACACACGTGGCCCATCTAAAAATGTCCGGCATCATGGATATTTGAGAGGCTTTCTCAACATTATCATTCTGGTTGATGCAAATCGCATCTACCCAGAGCATTCTTGGCTCTTGGCACTTACGCATTCGCATCAAAGCCAGATATAAAGATGTTGTGATAGGAATATACCCTTCCGGGGTGTGCAGCTTGAATGGCTGAATTGCACTTCCCCAGGTATAAGAAATAGCGTCATATTCGGGCCGGCCTGCTATAGCTGAGTGTATCAATTCCCCTGTGAGGTCTTCATCCCCTCTTCCTGGCAGAAGATAAAGAAGTCTTATCTCTTTTGCTGCTTCATCCAATGGGCTCTGGATGTACAGATGTGGTATTGCCGACACAAAGGGTCTAGACTTTCGGGATACGGTGTCATCACGCTCCTGTGGCTTGTTGCTTTGGAAGTCAGTGAGCTTTATCCCACGACGCGAGCCATCGTGTATATTCGCGAGTACGTTTGACTGGGTCCTTATCAGGAGCTCTTGTTCACTAATCATATCCCATGGATCCATGAACATGTGGACGCTGGGATTGTTATAGATATCGGAGACTCGTATGAGAATATAGATGCGGTCCTGCTGCTCGGACGAACCTCGAACCCGCCATCTACGTGCCTGTGGCCATGCCTGTTAGCATACATATCTACCCAACTGGGTAAAGATCTCCAATGGACGGGCCGTAGGTCAACCTCCATCCTTCAGCTCCAAAGGGGATTTGACAGAGGGAAAACCTGTAAACGAAAGGCAGGAGGGGAGTGCTGCAGGGAGATGCCATGAATCACCCACCATGTCCAGATCGAGCGCACTCCAGGAAAAGGGTGCAGATGCACCATCTACTGTGGTCTGGACATCAATACGGTAATCAGGGGGAAGGTATGCCCATTCTGCCGCCCTTTTGACCGAATTTGCTTTCAAGAAGTCGGTCATTGCTTGACCAGTTTGAGCATCAATATAGAAGCCCGACATAGGAAAATTGTCTTGCACCGTGAAAGGGGCATGGCCAAGGCGAGTTCGCAAGGGGCTTGTCCAATGTATATCTGGATCATATGCGCTGCCAAGAACGTGCCGTAGAAACTCGGAGACCTAAAATGTTCAGGACACTTTAGCTAGCATTCACAGCAATATGTGGTGAGAGTATCTTACAAATACTTCTCCGAGAAAAGCCGGCTCATGGTCAGTTGGGTTATTAGAATTACGTGCTATGAAGACAGTTTGCCCCCCAGGGTCAAGTATCTGTAGACGTGCAGGTAGCGTTTTTTGACCTTGAGTAATTCCCTCAAAATCCACCTCGGGCAATTCTTCCACAGTAGAGCAAAAGATAATGTCAGGTTGTGGTGTAAACCTGGGTACTCTATGTTGATAATATGAATCTGTCAACTGTGCGATACTCATATTATCCCGATCATCCAACTGCGTGTGCCCAGTCTCAGATGGATGGACCCATTCGCATTGTGCAAAGGACACCTGTGTGCGGTGGCCATCCGCCTCTGGAAAGACGGATATCTGCTGCCACTGTTCTATGAAACTTACCTTTTTATTACTGCCAGTTACTTGTTCCTCGGATCTGCTCATAGAGGGCAGACTGGAGTTCATTGCAGTCGGTATTTCTGAGTCTTCAGACGATTTGCTAATCAATGAGATATCATCACGGATGGCGTTTGATTGAGTCACCTGTGTAATCTCATCTTCTCTTGACGACGAGTCGTTCCTGCAACTTAACTGGTCCGCATACATATAGGTACTGAAACCTAGCCCTGGCTTAGTAAACAGGAGACCCTTGGTTGCCGAATTTTGATACAGTTACTACTCACGGCTCATGGCCCGAAAAATCCCTCCTCGACCTAGAGCATCGTGCAGGAGCTGTATGTCATTCAGCAGTAAAGCTGCCCATAATAAGCTCCTGTGTTCAAAAGGGATCCCGCACAATTGTGACAGCTGTTCACAGAGCTCGAAAGGCAGATTTTGTGCATCTGCATCGCTATGGCGTATGTAAAGTCTTACGCTGTTTTCCTCTCTGACAATCAAAGCCAGTTTTATGTCCTCATGTGTGTCGATAATGTACCCAGATGGATGAAGAACGGCCCATTCGACAGTCACTTCATCAACACTTCGCACTTCTATATCCCGAAGCAATTTGGATATCTCGGACGGCTGAGACAGGTGATTTCGAGCCAGGCTACGTCAGGATAAGAGAGGAGCGACAGATAAACAAGGCAAGATGTGCCCTACCAGGATATGCATTCAGCTTTGGACAAGAGCAGACTTTTGTAGTCATCCTTCACTACGGAGGCCAGACCCTGCCGGGGCCTGCAAATGGCTGCCTTGGACAGCAACCGATCCTCGATAAGCAATGCGCGGAACAATCTCGACATGCGTGCTAAATCCTCGGCACCAAACGCCAGCATGGTCAGATGTCCATGAAAAGTCTCCAATAGGCGGGGCTGGTCTGCAATAAACCAACCATCATGCCGTTCGCAGGTTTGTAACGTTGGTCGGGCTTCACCTCTCCTCGTCGGAAAGATTGGGAAGGTGCGGAGGATCCCAACTGCTTCGTACCCACACTTGGAGTCTTCCAGAGATAGAAGGTGATCTATACACTGGAAAATCGCACTGATACGCTGGAGCGAGTCGGCCCGAGATATTTGCTTGGCCTCACTAATCAGTGCGGCCAAAGCGTCGTCGCCCATGACCCATCGGAAGGTGTCCAGCACACGAGATCAGGGCGTAGTCCAGGTGGAATGTCGGGGGAAAATGCGTTAAAAAGTCGGGTCTCCCCAGAAAAGAGCCCCGAGCGCTGAAGGCCGCGCCATTTTGGCCTTGTGGGTCAGTCTGCCGTATGTTGGTATTGGTGTTTCGTGTTTGCTTTTTTTTGCCCCTCCTCCGAAACAACCGAGTATCAGCCTCGCCTCCATTCCCAGATTCCCTATTACATCTTTTCAAGCACAAAGATTCAGCTATGTTAGTACTCCCTAAAGCTTTAAACCCAAATAATAAGTCATGGTGGTATTTCTCGGCCGTACACGAGAGTCGTCTGACGGACTTAGGATTCTTTCCATGTTCACCATACTCTATGCAGGATAGCCATTCATCTTGAGATATACCCAGATCGAATGCCCGTATTTTGCTTTCCCTTTCACAAAATCCTGAGTTTCCTCCCAAATCCCGGTTCATGTTTGCCCACTTTCAATCCGGAGTATCCATCGCACCTCAGCTGGTAGGAGTTCAGGGCTAATGCAACACGTGCTGCACCGTAATTGGTTAATGTTAGAACCTTACCCCCTCGTTTTCATCTGGCTGCAGGTTGAGATTGATCCAAGTATTGATTGGCTCGATAGATTGGGGGGAAGAGACTAAGTAATTATTGTAGAGGGTAGAAACGAGCAAGGAAGGTGTCGAAGGGGATGGCGCTATATTGATAATTTGTGACTTTCGGGGCCAGCACTCACGGTTGCGAACCCAATGTAGAGTTTTCTGAACATCCTATTCATATGGAAACTTCACATATCTAAGTTAATAATATCCAAAAAAATATATGATAGTTGAAATACTATACTTCAATCCCACTCAACCAAAACGCCATATGGTGCTAAGTGCCGTGCCTTGGATACTGTATCCCTAACATTCTATTATACAGTTTTATGAAATATCACTAGGTCTCTGACTCTGTATTTACCAATTCAAGTATCTTACAGCAATGAACCACAGAGTGCAAGAAGATACAATGTTGCGATCTGTATGCAGAATATACGATGTTTACCTAAGTACATACAGTCTTTGACCACATCCTGGAGTCAGAATAAGTTGGCTGTTTCGGCCAGATATAAACCCTAGACAGTTCTATCAAAGTATAACTAGAGCTGTGGAGCACCCGTCATGACTATTGAATAAATGTAGCTCTCCTTAATCTATACAAAGCGAGGTTAGTAGGTAAGCTATCAAGACTCTGTTGGCATCGTTCACTCACTGGTAAAGAACCGGCCGGCATTACTCCATACCACACTCAATGCTGCTGCAAAGAAAAGATCCAACAGTTAGCACGATGAAACCCGACTAAGATGATGCAGCCATCGACCTGTTGGATCCTGATCTTAGTGCAAGCCTCAAGCAATTTCATAAAGGCCTGATTTGAAGACATACCACTGGAATGTGTGCTTATTATTGATCTGATCTAGCTCAAACATAATATATCATGAATGTTCCCACGGCCCTCGACCTCATCAGGGTCCCTCCGAGGAGTGAACATACCCAGAAACTCAGGCCCAACTCCGACAGCAACACCCCAACCACTAGCAGCTAAAAGAACGGATGAGGATTCACTCCTGCAGTCATAGTCTGCAATACATCCCAGTGCTCCACAATCTTCAATCCCTCGAAGCGATACATATCCATGACCGCCGTATCATTCTGCCCTGGCGTAACAGACTTCACATGAACAAGTCCATAGTCGCCACCCACAAAGAGTTGGTGGATTTCAAAGACAATGCCCTCCGTCGAGAATAAGGGAGTCAAGGCTTCAATGGCAGCCTGTCTTCCGTCCAAGATATTCGGGTTATGTTGGGTGTAGTTTTCAGCCACGTATTTGTTGAATGCTTCGGCGACTTTCTTTTCGGCGTAGAAGAGGTGAGAAAAGTCCTCGAGGATAGCTTGTCGGTTATCTTGCAGGGAGTGTTGGTTGGTCTCGTTAGTGGATGTTGGACGATGTCCTTGTAGATAGGCGGCACCTGCCAGACCCAGAAGCCCGCTGGCGAGTATCAAGAAACGGAGTAGAGACATATTGATGAACACTTATTAGCTTTTTAAATCATGGGGGACTGATTTTAGAGGTTGACAAATGTGATACGCTTTTTATACAAAAGCATTTGTTAGGTTCAAGCCTCCACATGCCGATGTAGATCTACGGGTCGGGACCTCCACCGGCAATATCACCGAAATACAACTGTGGTCTAGTCTAAATTTCTTGGAGCCTATAGATCATTTTATTGAGTGAAGTCCGGGGCAAAATCTGGGGATACTTGGCTAACTGACTGCTTCGACTGAAAACGTCTCAGACTGTGTCAACAGCACTTGAGGGCCAAACACTGCTACATACGGACAACATACACTAAAGGTCAATTCCTGTTCGTAGAGAAAATGAGAGGATGCAATACCACCGAGTCTTGAGTATTATTCACGCAGTTCATATGGTAGATTATCATAAACTCAACATAAGCGAATGACAACCAGTCACTTCTATTTCTGATAATGCTAGTTCTGTTGAAGATTGGAAAGAAGTTTCACCATCTTTGCATATATGGACTGTATAGCGAAGAGACAGCGTGTATGCCTCCAAAAACCTCTTCGTTTAGCTAAATTAGTGGGTGAATTACGATTATTTTTTATTAATATTATTAGTAAATAAGTTTAGATTATAGCCAGTAACTATTGCCGTAGAATATTGATTAGATTACTAGATAATTAGACTGGATATTTAAGACTATCAAAATAGTTAATGGCTAAGTCTCTGTAGGTATAGAAGTAAAGCAGAATATAGAGCGGAATATAAAACAAAAAGGTTTCGGTACGGAATCTCTATTGTCTGGAGCCACAATTTAGTCCACTGTAGTATAGACGGTATAAAGGGCCAAAGGCTTTCTGACCCTCCGTACTTACACTCTAATATGATACCACGTACTGACCGGAACGCCTGTGGTATGGAAACATGGCACAGCAGTTTTCGTACCTCGCGGTGGTTCCATCCTGCGTATCTAATTAACCTATACGTAATCTGGTTCTTGCTATCATTCTGTTTAAGAAGAAGCTTCATTAGCATGTCAGCTCTTGGTTGTTGTTCGAGCACATTCTGTCCTGCCCTTTTCAGCACTGCGTCTGTGATTTGCACTTTGTTGCCCCGTTGCTGGAGGAGAAGCTGTACGAGGTCCAATCCATAGCATTTATTCGAGACTGCTGCGATAAGAACTCCCTCGGTGACCCGTATCTCATTGCCTCCGTGCTGAATAAGAAGCTGCATGAGTTCCAGGCCATAGACAATGTTCGATGCTGCTGCGATGAGCACGTCATTTGTGATCCGAATTTCATTTCCCTGTTGCTGAAATAGAGTGTGACCGGCTTGCGAAGGATAGAATTGTTTTTGTGACATGGCAAGCCACACTTTGTGCGTGATTGTGATTTCACTGGCTCGTCGTTGAAGAAGGGTATTCAAAATATGTGGTCTGTCGCTGTTCTTTGATAACGTTATTAGGAGTAATTCCTCTGCCCTTTCAATTCTATATCCTCGGTGCTGAAGAAGGAGCACCAAGCTCTTTAGGTGGTCCCAAATCTCTGTTGCATCCATGGCCACCCCATCACTTGTTCTAGGAATGCCTCGACGAAAGTTGCCTATGGCCTGTACGCTTGCGAGTGCAGCGGCTTCAATGTCTGTCTTGGCAATCCCAAAATAGCGCCTGTCTAGGATAGTCTCCAAGTCTTCTAGGTTTGATGACCACATGTGGTGCTGTAGGAAAAGTCCATTTAGTACTCCCAGATTCTTTACTAGCTTCCGCAATGTTGGAAAGTATGATTTCTGGGTACAATATGTATGGTCATCAAATAGAAAGCGAACCACATCTTGGATGAGATCATGTTCGCTCTTCTCATAATCAGGTCTTATCATATCCGTGTCCTGCGCATCCGAGGATAATCCAAGCAAGGCATATATCTTATCGCAAGGAAGGCCTGCTTGGCTCTCACAAAATTTGATTAGGAGGGTATAAAGATCTCTGTTCATGTTCCACCATGTGCCACTCCGTGATGGCCCAGGCATTATATCCAGGACCGCTTGACAATGTGCACGCGGGCACACATTTAGTAAAAGAGGAGCGACAGGAAAGATATGAGCCGAGACGGATGCTTCTCCGCAGCACACTAGGCCAGCTCTTGCATTGGCCACTTCTTGCAGGATCCAAACCCTCTTAAACCAAGGCCTGCTCAGCAGCTCCTTAAAGCCCTGGCGCTGTTGCAATTGGAGGTCGGGATAGCCAGACTGTACGGCTGACCAGAGTCCGACCCAGCGCCGGTCCGAGAGTTCCCACATTTTGGACGCATGCTCGGTACTTTCCTTCTGGAGCTCTCTTAGAGAATTTAGAATCACATCCGTCGCGTCTGTTGGCTCGCCCAGCCAAAATATGACTCTTTCGGACTGTTTGTATATATCCCCCATGTGACGAACCTGATGCCCACGCTCCTTATCATTGGTCTGGTCTATACAAATCCCATCCACCCAAAGGATCCGGTCCTGATCGCGGAAGCGAAGATACTGGAGCGCAAGGTATAGGTTGTGTGTAATACCATGTCTTTTTCCGTTCATTCGTACGGTCCTCACAATTTCGGTGGAACCCCAGGTATATGAAAGAGCTTCATACGAAATAGGACTTTGCTCTGGGTAGAGCCACGCTTGAAAGATCTCGCAGTCGATACGTGATCCATATCCATGGCACAGACGGACGAGGCGAAAGGCTGGCCCATCCAGGTCGAGAGGCTCGTATTTGAACGATTCCATATTTTGCTCGCATATCGGGTGATGAGGACCAACCATGGACTGTGGATTCGATCTGGAAGGTACTCGAAAGAGAAACGAGGATATTCCGAAGTATGTATGATGATGCGGGGTGATCTGTGATCGAAATGTAGTGCAGTGACTGTGGCGGTGTATTCTCAGCCTTGTCATGGATTTGTTGTCAAGGTGGAGGTGATGTGATGTGTATAATGTGGCTGTGCTCTACAATCAAAGATCTGCATTGTTTCTCGTATTTTCTATAGTTACATGCCCTAAGATTTATATTGAACTGTATTCCACCTACACCCCGTCTTGAATAAGTAGACATGAAACAGACCGGAACCAATATTAATATCAATATGACCAGGGGTTCTTAAATCATGAAGGAATAAAGCAAAACGAGAAGCGTAGTTTAGAATCAAGGGGAATGGTATAATTTGGACTCCACAGTTCACATTGCCTCGAAGACAAATTGAAACATTGGGGATTCCCTACTCTGTGACAGAAGTACAATACTGGACTTCCAGACTTCCATCACTACATTCTTGTTCATACGTAGTGGTGGTTTGTTGACATTCTAAGCCCACTACAATGAAAGCCTGGCAAGGATTGATTCCCTGTTAAAGAGTTAATTTGGGTAACAGACATACCCATTCATTCACAGAATGGATCCTGTCAAGGCAGGAAAGTGCTTAGTTAAGCACTATCAAGAGAGTGGTAAACTCGGGAAAGAGTGAATGAGTATATCGCAAATGGCATCTGCTAAACAGCAGACAACAACAAACAAGCTAGGCTAACCAAGACCATAACCTTCTCTCTGTAACTATAACCATACCACCATCAGCCATTAATATTCCTAACTTATCACACCCTTCAAACATGGAGAATCCATCTTCAACAACAGGAAACTGTACCCACTGTCAGAGCCCCGCTACCAAAAGATGCAGCGGATGCTCTGGAGCCCTAGAATACGATGAGGAGATCCCACAGCCCACACTCTACTGCAGCTCAGCCTGTCAAATACAGGACTGGGTTGAGCACAAAGCCAAATGCAAGCAGCTCCAGGCCCGCAAATCCCTTTCAAGAGCCGCCAACCTCCTCCAAGCGATACTGTATCGAATCCGCCTACGCGCTCATGGAGTCACATCCGCGACTGCCCATGTTGATGGATCTAGGGTGATCCTGTGCCCTGCTAAAGAAGAAAAAGAAGAGGTCTATCGACCACTGGGACCGCTATGTGTTGAGCTTAAAGGCGGCAATCAACGCGTGTTCGATGCCATTGTCATGGTGAGCTCTTGTACAGAAGCGGTAGTGTACCTGTTTTCCTTTGTTCGAGATATCCTGTCAGGTAAGAATAGCCCCACTGGTCTTGTTTGATTACCCGACGGCTCTGCTGACTATACAGGTCTTTGCTCTAAGATCGAGGAACTCACAATTGACGTTCGTAACCCGGAAATCTCCATCGAGAGGCCCGACGGCGTTTCCCTGACCACTACTAAAAACCACAATGTCTACCGTGTCACGCTGAAAAGCGGCGAAATATGGGTAATCGATCCATCTGGAGCCCAGTATGGATTCGTGGAGTGTCTCTACACATGGCGCGATTTCGCAAAGGACAGGCTGGGTGGGATTCACAGACAGGACAAGCTAGGTTATCAGCGTGTAGAGACTAGTCGAGGCCAGACCGAGCACAGCGAGTTTTGTTTGCAGGTTTTTGACATGGAACTGTTGGAACTTGCTTCAGCGCTCGATGAGAAGATTCCTACGCTTGCGAAGGTGTGTGGTGGGGACTTGAAATTGATCCTGCAGGGATCAGATGCTGCATTTCAAAAAGCGAAGAATGAACTGCTTGATCAGTTGGGGAGCTGTGTCGACCTTTGCTTGGAGGAAGTATTCGCCCCTGAACGAATTGTGAAGAGATCAATGTTAGCTGACCGGCGCATCGCACGGAAGATGTGAGTTTCTCATACTGGAAGATAGGTTCTTCCCTCGTGGGTGCAGTGAAGTGCCTATGTGCGTTCGGTGTCACTGGAACTTGTCCTGGTGTGAAAGGTTGGCAATAGGTTAAGTCGAGTATCTCCTGATAGTGATGTCTGTCTCGACTAGGCAGAGTTCGACGAATGAATAGTTTTCTATTATTATCCAGAGATACTTCGAAGCAGCCTGTTATATACTAGGTCAACTGAATCAGCGCTCTGAATGTACGAATTCCTTTATGCTCAGAAGACAATATTATTTAATTCAGCCTTCTAACCTCTATCTTTCCTCTGTCTTCTTTCTAATTGGCTTATAATTTGCTTTCGCCATGGTCATTAACGTTTCAGTATTAATATAGTCTATATACTCCATGTTCTGGATGTTTGAAAATATGTTACGGTGTATATTTAGGCGGACTCGGGCCCGAGCTCTCACGATGCTCCCCTTTCGAGGGCACATCCTCGTCATCAGAGCTTTCCGTAGTAACCCTCGAGGCCAACGAAGCCGCAATACTCGACCGGGTTTCCGAATGTCTCGAGCAATGTCTTTTCTCCTCCCTTGCAATCGCATAATCCCTCCCCCTCACAGAAGACGGCCCCGCGTCTAATTCAGCAATCCCAGAACCCGGCAGCTCATAAATCGCACAAGAAGAGTCCGAAGGCAATTCAGGCCGATGTTCCCGACTACTATCAAGCTCTCCTGGCCCATTCTCAGACACACAGTCCGAGTTACTCACGGTGTCTGACAGTTGGACGCCTTTCTCGGACTTCACAGCCCGCCGCCGCTTCTTTATAAACATGTATGCGCCTGCGATAATAATAATAGCCCCCGTCCCAGTGCCAACGCCGATCCCTGCTTTTGCAGCTGTGGATAGTCTTGGCTTGTCGGATAGCAAACCTTTGACTTTTTGGTCCATGTAAGAGTCGATCGGAACGATGTCTGTATGAGATGCGACGAGGTTGGCGTCGAATTTGGCTTGGTAAAGTGAGAACTGGACTCTCTCGTAGTCGACCGCTAGGTATGCTTCTTGGAAGAAGACTCGGCCGAGACGTTGTTCGTCATTTGTGGTGGCGCGTCTGATGGGGAGATATGGGAGGGAGGTGTCGGATGGTATGGTTGGGTATGGATAGGTGAGGGAGTGGTCGAAGGCCTGGAAGGGGAGGGTTATATTGACACTTTGCGATGAGTCGGGCAGGTCGGAGATTGAAAGTGTGATGGAGATATTCATGGCGAGGAGTTCGTCCCGGTGTGAGGTGTCATTTCCGTACGTATAAAATCCTAGACTATCATCATAGGTGAGGTTGAAGGCCTCGCCGAAGGCATCAAAGGCGTTACTGGGTAGCCAGAGGTAGCTTGTTGAGGAATCAAGTGTGAAATATGTGCTACCTCCCGGGTTCGAGGGGGCTATATGTTCGTCTATGTAAGCGCCATCGCCGGCCTCTGTTCCGGATGAAATCGATATGGTATTCAGTGAGACAACGGGGTCAGCGGTTCTGCTGAGATGGAATGTCGCGTTGTTGTCGTAGAAGCGAGCCCGATCCACGCCTCCGATGGTAAGAGATGCTGGTGCACCTTTCAGCCCTGCATACAAATATTAGTGAAAGCCTTGTGAACATCATGAAATTTGTGGCATACGGTAGTGAGCGCCAGCGGTGTAGCCATAGGTACCACTGGGAGCAAGGCTATCGTTTATATATGCAGTTTCCATGAGATTTAGGTCCAGGTTGTCGATATGGCCGCTTTGGTCCATGCCCAGTCCCAGCAACCCGATCCATGTGTCGGTGTCATTTAGAATCCTGATCCTTTGCTCGGTAACCGGTCTATAGCCTACCCATATAGTATCATTACCATAGTATGCCTCGATTGAAGGATCCCCCGAACCAGGATGTGAACCTTGAGGTTGCCATGTAGTCGACTTGCTGGTGTCAAAAAGGCCACCTCGCTTTTCAGAACAGTCTACTACTGAAGCTATCTTTTTCTGTCAGTCGCCAATGGGCAATGCTTGGACATGAAGCGATTTAGGGAATCTGTCTGCTGAGAAGGGAGGGTGTCACATACAGTTCTGGCAGCCACTTGCTCCAACGGTCCATGTGTCGGTGTCCACGGTACTTGGGAAAAGAGAGACTGTTTTCAATTCTGACCCGACCCATATGTTTACGCTAAGGATGGGTAAGCTCGTGTGGGGAGTTAGAATGTCAAAGGTAGCCTAACTTACGCACTCCAAGTTCCGTCATTCCCGTACCTGCGCAAGCCTGGAATTAGTGAACTGACACGTGAAAGGAGCAGTTCACCTCCAAAGGGAAAACGTACCAGCCAACATCAACTTCCACAGAGGCAGGCTCTGACTCTGGCTCGTTCTTGGCAAGACAGATGGGCAGTCCGACCAGAAGAGCTATGCCCGCGACGCGCTTCATACTCTGGCGTCAGGGCATGGACAACATTGAACTCCAAGTGTTGGGTAAGCCACAATCAGGTGTTGTCAGGAGAGACAGAGTCCACACATAAGTAAACTAGATCATTGGGGTTCTCGCCTTCCAAGGGGGTCGTGGGTATGGGGGTGGAGATGAAACCATGGTACGGGTTTGGTTGCCAAGCATTATGGAACTGAAAATTTCCAACGTCGGCCCTATTAGGCAGGTCGATTAATGTCATTATTGACATTCATCTCGATTCATATGCCATATTTGGTAGGGTTACATTGCTAAAAGCCAGACATCCGGCAACACCGATGCGGGTCGATCATTTTAGTCAAGCGTTCGTCTCGAGTCACACCTTATGCAGTAGTATTCTTGTGTGCCTGTGATAGCTATCTTTATGTGGAAGTACCTTCATATTGAGATCAAGCCATCCTGATAAGTGATTATGAGCATTCTCGCTCAATCGGTGGCAACCGTTTCAGACTCTTCAATGCCAAGCCTGGCAGGCTGCAGCCTTTTCAAGCATCACGGAATATTCTTGCCCTACCACATGGGCATCATCAGGCTCAGACCCACTTGAAATGGGCAGAGCCACTACTAGTACTCTTAGCCAAACACTAAATTCCTGAGCAGCCAGTTATGAAAGCTCGTGCCCTGTCTGGTCCACTATCTGGTGAGCCACACAACCAGTCAACCCTAGGATGCTCCACGCTCAGCTCGCCACAAATGTTCTGTGCCCATGTTCAATCTGGGCTTTGGTGCGGGTTGACAAGTTATGTAGGTGGCGGAGTATCCCTAGCTCATTCACCAAAGGTCCCCGGCGAGTTTATCGAGGCAACAGCTGTCAGCAATCAAGACACTTCATGGGATCCACGCCGTACACCGATGCATATAGACGAGGTGCGTCGGCTTTGATTCATTACATACCAGCAAAGGTTCTCTAGAATGATATTTCACCGCAACCTATTACTGTGCCCACATAATCTTATACGATTGACAGATTCAAGGGTATAGCAAGTCTTTGGTTTCTCGAATAGCATTTCGTAGGATTCTACTTTCTGGATCAGCAGATTAACGGCCGAGAGTGTAAAATCTTGTTTTCCATGGAAGACATTAATATAGAAATCTGCAGTCGTTCAACATCGAACAATACAGTTCTATACGGCCCATCAACCCAGGAAGGAGTGGGTCGATCAAGCTGTCTAGATCTAATATTACCACGGGTCTATATTGAAGATCCCTTGGCGTGATCCGATAGGGGGCACCTAATTTAGGTCTATAGACGGTAGCCCGGGGGTACTCCGTGCGACATAGAAGAATTCCCATGGAACTGAAGAGATAATTGGTAGGTTTGTTGATATTTCCTTTTCCGCATTAGTACCGCTATGTTTTGATTGAGGTTCCACATGCGAGGAGATAGCCCTAAGCAACGTTGATATCTGTTCAATACAGCCAAGTCATTTGCATTAAACACCAGTCCAGATTTCTTCGCAATGTGCCTATGTCCTGGGAAATTATAGTTCATATGCGCAACACTCGACATCCATGAATATATTCACATTGGGCTCTTCACATGCCATTTAACCCCGTTTCCGATATGCTTCATTTGATTGCTGTAGCTGGATAAGTGAGTGTGAGTACGAAGACACTACTTTTCCAGAAAAACTAGCCTTTGTTTTGATATCTGGCGATGATAATACGTGTTCTAAACAACTATGATAAACATCATATGTATTTCCAGAGGGATCCATTCCTAAGCGACAGCATCCTGTCGCGTACCTATAGCAGGAACAAATTTGTATTTGAACGATTCACCTAGTATGGAGAATATGTAGTTTGCCGCGAGGACCCTCAATATAGAAGTGGCCCAGCAATTTGTGGATAAAAGACCTGCCTTTACGATCCGTCCGAACAGAGTTTATGTGGTTATAGATTCTAAGTTCGTGGTCCCTCTCGATACCGTGAACGTAGACCTTTAAAGCAACATATTTAGAATCACTAGCGGAAGCTCAGCGCAGAGATCTGGTATAGTTCATAGACAGCATTCGCAATGAGAAAGGATGGCAACATACGCCAAGTCACGACAAAGCCAGACAGTCGATGATACACCGTACCCCAACTTCACGAGCACTTGATATCGAGCGTCCAGGAGTTCTTCGATGTGAATAGGATAATACTTATCGGGAGAGTAAGTCGGCAACATCTCCTCTTGCACCCTATCGCTTGCATCAATAACATCAAATCCTGAAGTAGGGAATACGGGGGGCTTGGCTGGAACTGGTGTCGAGGACGACGTTCTCCTGCAGTCGGTCATCGTGGATGGTGGCTGGGGGCATACTCGAAGACTATATCTCGAGGTTCCAATGCGAAGAGGAGGGCATACATGCGTCTTCGCATCGGAAATAATCCGTGGGAATGCGCGTAAGGACAATCGTACCATTATCATAGGAAAGAGACATGCAGTGAGTATGGTGTGACTTTTGGGGAAGCACGAGTTAAGATGACCAAACGAAGGTCAAGAAGTGCTTTTAGTTGAAGGCGGCGGAAGAGCCGGAAAATCCGGTCTGAGGTGGACAGTATTCGGAAACTGTTTATGCAAGAAGGTGCCCCCTTATGGAAGGCAAAGTCTCACTATACACCGAAAAGGCACAGAAGGCAAGAGATATGCCATATCCACCAGAAAAGCCCGTTTGCATAGTCCTTGTAGCGCCCTGTTGGTCCAGTGTGAAATCGCAAAGAGGTTTATCTTTCAGGAAAGTGAATGTAAATAGGCCTGAGCATGACGACAACTAACGACAAGGAGGTATGCTGTGGCTCGGCTTATGTCAAAGTGCTCCAAAACCAGCTCCTGTCCAGGCTGGTGACCCTAGCTATCTTCACAGCATGCTACAATTCACTGAAGGAACCTATGGAAGTGAAATCTGTCATGGTGGGCGCAAGACGACCTCAGTCATAATCATTCACAAAGCCATAGGAACCTCATACTGTGGGTATTCATCACCTTGCTGGTGCGCTACCTGGTGATTCCTAATTCTAACCAGATTTTGATCTATATCTGTCATTTAAGATCCTCATTGACCACCACATTCTATTCTCTCTCCGAACCAATATGAGCCGAAACTTTGTTCGGGGTCTCCAGACTACGACCAAAATGCTGATTCAGTTCGTTGGTGGTGTTAGTCCAGATGATATCCTCGTCAGTAATGGACTCACAGGACCAGCGTGGGAAAGGTCCGCCAGGAGAGTGACAGATGCCATAGAGAAAGCCGTAAGTGGGCCGGTCTTTTTATAGCTCCACATGTGGCTGATTGTTTTGAAGGATCCAAGAATTATTATTGCCATAATTCAGTATGAATCTCCCTCCCTTCAACCTTCCATGAATATATTCCTTCTCCGCTAACACAGCTACTTAGGGGTGCTAGGGCTCACTTTTCATCCAAAGACAAGAGTGACCCATGAGATGGGCATCACAATAGGGCTCGCTACCACTGCTGGAATGCAAATTGGCTCTGTACACGTGCACGTCAATGGGACCTTCAAATTCTTTCCGCCGCTTGCTGGAAGACAAGGTGGATATGATCCAAAAATTGCACGTGCTCAAATTGGGGGTCATATCAATAATTCGGGAAGCAATGCCACCAACGAGGGAAGCGACAACAGCAAACCCAGCCAGGACTGAATTATACAGCAAATGGGACGGTACGGCTAAGTGCGGTTTCTGAGTGCCTGAAAGGGTTCATGTGGCCTGCGAACTTTCTTCCTGGTATGAAATCCGATATTCTCTCTATATCATCACTAAAGCCATTATGTTCCTGTAACTGTATCCCCTCTCTTACCTGGCCATAGCCAACCGAAACGCGAATGAAGGAGATCGGCGAACATACACTCTCCTCAATCAACCAGTGTATGACCCGATATATTCAGTATTTGCAGGAAAACGACTATGCTACAAGTTCCATTAGTAACTAGAGTTCACCTTCCGGTGTAGGATAATTGAAGCTCGGATAGATATAGTTCTTGATCGCGACAGAGACAACTGAGGGAGTCATTGTCGTTATTAGGACACTAGCAGTCTCCTATACGTCATGCATCTGTGGTCTGCCAAATAGGAAAGAAATAAAATCTCTTAAGCCATTGATTACAATATATGAACATAAGTTAGTTCTTTCAACCGAGGGGACTCTTCGTTCGTAGTTGCATGTGTGGTTCCATCGCCATTCACGCCGACCCGAGCTCGGCCCTAGCGCCACATCGGGCGAATGCTCACAACCCGCTACGGATCCCGTTATCTTGATCAAATTATACCATGAAAAAATTTCGCAAGTTCATATAGAGTATCAATGGCAGGAAATAAGGTACTAATTCCGCGATTAGGTCAGATTGTGGCAGTTCCTGTTATCATGTTCAAAGAAAAAAGATCAATCAGCTACTATCAACCACAGAGTTTCTTATTCTGGAGCGATGAGCCCCCCAAATGAGGCTCACGCGATAGTATAAATGTAATATGCACTAGCCAACTTGTTGAGAGAAGCTATAATATCTCAGCAGCACAATATCTACATAACATGCATATATCATCGCATAAGAGAAAATGCCCCTTCGGCGCTTTTCTTGGCCTGTCGGAGGTGCAGCCTAACTCGGTTTAAGCATTACGCTTCTCATCCCGTATTTAGGTCCCGGTGGATCCTCGAAACGATCAAGAACGATAGTGGAACCGAACTAGCGCGGAATTTCTGTTTACTGATCATTGATGTGCATTCCTATCATGATCGATTAGGATTCTTATCCTGAACCGTCCAATCAATGGCTCCCATTGAGTACCCTTACTATTCGGCCGAGGCTGAAGCTTTTTTAACAACAGGCGTTATTTCTGGGGTCGGTCCACATCATGTTTTATATAATTGTGACAGCGCCGCTGTAGCCTTTTTATATATTTTCTTTTTCTCCTTTGCCTCTTATCCAGGTTGATTCCTGCTGAGCGTTTCGGCGTCTATTTACTTACCCACTTTCGACAGGATGGAGGGCTCAACTCCCATTCCAGAGCCCCAAGGCTTGCCGCTCTTGGGAAATATCAAGGATGTAAACCCTGAATTTCCCCTAGGGTCAATGGTAGGACTTGCTGATGAGCTTGGTATGCGCTACGCCAGGGAGATAGCTATGGATATATGCTGAACCTCTCGATAAGGTGAAATCTATCGCTTGCGTTTCCCCGGCCGAACCACAGTTTTCATTTCTACATATGAGTTGGTGAATGAAGTGTGCGATGAAAAACGATTCAAGAAGTCGGTGAATTCGGCGTTGAGTGTAAGTTCCATGTGAAATACCTGATAAGCACAGTGGCACTGGTTCGATGCTGATCAAGGCCGTGTTACTGAAAATCAGGAAGTCAGAAATGGTGTACACGATGGTCTCTTCACAGTAGGTTCAGTTGATGGTGGGGAGAGGACTCAACTAATCGCTCCGTACAGGCTAGAGAAGGCGAAGTCAACTGGGGTATTGCCCATCGAGTACTCATGCCAGCATTCGGACCGCTATCCATCCAGAGCATGTTCGATGAAATGCACGACATCGCCACGCAACTGGCGCTGAAGTGGGCTCGGTATGGACCAGAGACCCCGATCATGGTGACAGACGATTTCACTCGCCTCACGCTGGATACCCTGGCGCTGTGCTCCATGGGCTTCCGGTTCAACAGCTACTACTCGCCAGAGCTGCACCCGTTTATCGAAGCCATGGGCGACTTTCTCACGATGTCTGGGGAGCGGCCGAGAAGACTTCCGTTGCCGTCGATATTCTACAGGAGCCAAGACGAGAAGTATGAGGCTGATATTCAGATTTTGCGGAAGACGGCGGAGGGTGTGCTGAAGTCGCGGAAGGCCCATAAGAGTGAGCGAAGGGATCTCCTGACAGCTATGTTGGAGGGGGTCGATTCGAAGACCGGGCAAAGTATGACGGATGAGAGTATCATGGACAATCTGATTACCTTCCTGATTGCGGGTCATGAGACCACCTCGGGGTTGTTGTCGTTTGCGTTCTATCAGCTTTTGAAGTATCCAGAGATTTACCGCAAGGCGCGGCAGGAGGTGGATGACGTGGTCGGTGAAGGGACTATCAAGGTTGAGCATATGTCCAAGCTTCCCTATATTGCTGCGGTAAGTCCATCTTCGTATTGGAGAGCGGGTGTCATTGACCGTGTATGGTTAGATTCTTCGTGAGACGCTGCGTATCAACGCCACTATTCCTTTATTCACGGTCGAGGCATATGAAGATACGCTTATTGGAGGCAAATATGCCGTCAAAAAGGGAGAGACCATCGTCAGTCTGTTGACGAAATCACACCTAGATCCCGCTGTCTACGGTGAGGATGCCAATGAGTTCAAGCCAGAGAGAATGTTAGACGATAACTTCAACCGGCTGACCCGCGAATTTCCTAACTGCTGGAAGCCGTTCGGCAATGGCATGCGGGCATGCATTGGTCGCCCATTTGCCTGGCAGGAGGCATTACTGGTGATGGCCATGTTGCTCCAAAACTTCGACTTTGAACACGCTGATCCAGACTACAAGCTCGATATTAAGCAGACGCTCACCATCAAGCCAAAGGATTTCTTCATGACCGCCAAACTGCGTGGCAACATGTCGCCAACGCAACTTGAGCGTCGCCTAGCGGGCATCGAGGCCCCTATCGGGGGGAAGCAACTCTCGGCGTCTAATGGCGATGCTGGTGCTGGGACAGGGCTTCCTCTGACTATTCTTTATGGCTCGAACACTGGCACTTGCGAGGCATTGGCGCAGCGTCTCGCGGCTGACGCTGCTTCGCATGGGTTCCACGCATCGGCGGTTGATTCTATGGACGGCGGCTTTGAGGCATTGCCGACTGATCGACCCATCGTCATCATCACCGCATCGTACGAAGGCCAGCCGCCCGATAATGCTGCCCGGTTTGTGTCTTGGATGGATGGCCTGAATGAGGAAGAGAGTCCCTTGAAGGACTTGACTTACGCCGTATTCGGCTGTGGAAACCATGAGTGGGCACAGACCTTCCACCGTATCCCGAAGCTTGTGGACACGACCTTTGAACGAGCAGGTGCGAGCCGTGTGGCGGAAATCGGACTGGCGGATGCCGCGAACGGGGACATCTTCACCAGCTTTGAGACTTGGGAGGACGAGATCTTGTGGCCAGCATTGGCTGAACGTTATAGCGTTGCTGCAGACAGCATGGGCAAAGCGGCCCCGGTGGACGCAACGGTGTCAACTCCACGACTACTGACCCTGCGACAAGACCTTCAAGAAGCCATCGTTGTCGACGCGTGGGACTTGTCAACCGGCGAGGAATCCGTCAAGAGACATATCGAGATCCGCTTACCAGAAGGCTTGTCATATCAACCAGGTGATTACCTCGCCGTCTTGCCTGTCAATCCTAAAGAGAATGTTCACCGAGCCATGCGCCGCTTTGGTCTCGCCCGGGACGCATATATCACCATCACTACCAAAGGACAGACATCTCTTCCGTCCAACGAGTCGGTATCCGCGTATGACATTCTCAGCTCGTACATCGAGCTGGCGCAACCAGCCACGAAACGTGTATGTTCACCCTCATCACCCAGAAACCACCCAGCTAACCCCAAATCACCAGAACATCCACTCGCTAGCCGAAGCAGCGCAAGACGAGCGGACCAAAGCCGAACTCAGCCACCTCGCCACAGAGGTCTACACCGAAGAAATCAGCGCCAAAACCGTCTCCGTGCTCGACCTCCTCGAGCGCTATCCGTCCGTGACCCTCTCGCTCGGCTCATTCCTCTCCATGATGCCGCCCATGCGAGTCCGACAATAGTGAGTTCCCCAACCCAAACTCCACCCAAGGCACAAAAACTAAGTAATATGTAACCCACAGCTCAATCTCCTCCTCCCCACTCTCCAACCCCAACCACGCAACCCTAACGTTCACCATCCTCGACAAACCCGCCTTGTCCGGCCAAGCGCCACATCGGCGTGGCCTCGTCCTACCTCGCCTCGCTCATGAAAGGCGACGTCCTCGCCGTCTCCATCCGTCACCCCCAGGCCCCATTCCGCCTGCCCGAGAACCAATCCCAAACCCCCATTATCTGCATCGCAGCCGGAACCGGCATCGCCCCCTTCCGCGGTTTCATCCAGGAGCGCGCTCTCCTCCTCGCGCAGGGCCAGACGCTAGCACCCGCGGCCCTGTTCTTCGGGGCGCGGTCGCCGGAGCAGGATGATTTGTATGCTGTGGAGCTGACAGAGTGGGAGCAGGCTGGTGCGGTCGAGGTTTATAGAGCGTTTAGTAGATGTTCCGAGGCGAGTGAGGGGTGCAGATACGTGCAGGACCGGGTGTGGAGAGAGAGAGAGATGTTATGGAGCTTTGGGGGATGGGGGGGAAGACTTTTGTTTGTGGCTCTAGGGGTGTTGGAGACGGGGTTAGGGAGGCGATTGTTAATATTTTGGTTGAGGCTGAGGCTGAGGGTAAGGATGAGGATGGGGTCAGGGCGAGGTTTGAAGCGGTTCGGAATGTGCGGTATGTGACTGATGTTTTTGATTAGAATGTGGTGATCCTAGTGTCTGTAGTTAGCATGCAGGCGATTTGCCTAGTGAGGTCCTAATCGGACCCAAATCTATAGACTCCATATAACTATATCGTGAAGTTCTTCCACTTTCGACCGTGGGGATATTCTTCCATGCTGTTTCGCTGCTGCGTCTCTATCTGACTACTCCCTTGTTTTTTCACGCCTTCTCTCACAAAGCACGGAGCTATGTATCTCCTGTAAGGCTGCAGTTGCTCCCCAGTTGTCACCGATTTTGACCACTCCGTATGCCCTCTCTATGGTCGCAAACTAAATTTTGTATCTGCATATGTGACAGGGGAAATCCCTAACTCCACATGCGTCCATTCGAATTAATATGGAGGGGCCCCATGGGGTATCGAGAAGAGGGTTACGCCCTGGAGCTGCGAAGATATACACAGATTTTGGTGTGCAGCCATTTTAGGACTTGGAGAATATTAAGAATCAGCCGAAAAGGCAAAAAATGATAAATCCGGCATCTTATGGCTCGTCAGGTATAGTACCTGATAGACCTCTAGCAATCCAGCCGCTTAAAAAAAAAACATCTCATTCCACCTCTCCCTTCTTCTGCTCCACCATCTCTCTCTCCCCCTCCTCCTTCGCAGTCTGCCTCTCATCCAAACGCACATTCTTCAAAAAGAACATAATAACCAGCATAGGCGCAAGCGCCGCAATAGCAGCAATAGCCAACAGCCGCTGGGACTCCCGATAACTGCGATCAATCGCCAGTCTCACCGAACCACCCACAGGATACTTCTGGGCCACCACAATGGACCCAAAGATCGACTTCGCCTGGCCCTTCGCCTCATCAGGCAGATACAGGCTCAGCTTGCGAGGCAGATTACTGCGCCAAATGGCGCCAGCGACGCTGGTCCCAATGGCGCCGCCGATGCTCATCGACGCGAAGAACACGGCCGTCACGACCGATACTTCCTGTCGGGAGACGACGGCTTGGACGGAGACCTGCGCGGCGGTTTGGTAGAAGCCGCGCCCGATGCCGATGAGTGATTTGGCGGTCACGAAGGCTGCTTCGTTGCCGGTTTGGCCGTCGCCCATGTCAACCAGGTACAGGAGGATTCCCATGCCCAGGATGCAGAGGGGCACGCCGATGAGGACCCAGATTTGCGAGCGTTTGGTGTATTTCATGAAGAAGGCGGCGAAGATGCCCGAGACTTGGAAGGCGACGCGGAGGGAGTTGCTGTGTTTTTGTTAGTTTGGGGGTGTGTGGAGGTGGGAGAGAGAGGGATGGGTTCGTACTCGATTCTGGTGGCGTTGCCGGCGTTGAAGTGTCCAGCGACTTGGAGGTAGCTGGTGAAGAAGACGGAGAAGACCGAGTAGTGGAAGAAGTCGAGTGCACCAAGGAGACATGCTGCTGCTACGGTACGCTGTTTGATCATGCGGTATGGCACGAACGGCTTCTTCGCGAACCGGGCGTCCCAGATGACGAACGAAATGAGAAACACGACGCCAAGAACTAGCATGGCGATGAAGTTGCCCTTGTGCCACGCGTTGCTGTTATTAGAACCTGTCAGGGCGATGGGGACCAGCAATAGGGCCAGTCCGAGCAACAGGAGGACACCACCCGGTAGGTCCAGCTCAATCCAGAGGAGTCGGTAGGCGCGCTGATACCACGTATCTGTTTCCTTCCAGCCCATGGCTTTCGCAATGGGAACCTTGATTGGTGCGCGTCGCTGATAGACTAGCATTGTTCCGATCAAAGGCACGGCGCAGACTGGCGTGATGATGGCCCACATGCCCCAACCCCATCGCCAGGTCGAATGGTCGAGCATGCGCTGTGCAACAATCGTGCCCAAGTATAACGTGGGGACTGTCGTGAGGGAATCGGGGAGGGTAGACCAGATGCCACGGTTGACGAGGTTGGTAACATCGGCGACGAAAACTTGCTGTGTGAGTGCGTAGCCTGTTGATCCGATTGCTTCAAAGATACCAGCGACCTGTTCAATGAGTTAGCGCATAGCATGGAAAACCACTAGTCTTGTAGCTGTCGCAGCGTTTGTAATACCATATACTGCGCGATATCTTCGCAAGCGGCGTAAATCACGTAGCCAAGAGTGGACGCTGCAATGGCGAGAATAAACATCTCGGCTCTACCAAACACCTGCCAGACACAAACTATTAGTCAACCGCCATAATTCCAGAAGAATGGCATACGTACGTCCCCAAGCTTCGCAATAACAGGGTAGGAAGCAATGCGCGTGATATTCATGACTACGCGAGCAGCGCTCATTGCAGAGTGTTGCTTAAAGGCGCTAGTGGTGTACGGAACGTAGACCTGGGTGGAGTAATCGCCAAAGTTGATTGCAAGTGTTGCGATGAACAGACTGGAAAGGATCCAAGTCAGTAACAAGACTTGTACCCCGTAGTAATATTTGTCTATCGCTTACCCGATAAAGGCCATATATAGACCTTTCTTCGTCCATCCTTTGCGCAGTATCTCTGCCCTCTGCACACCTGCCTGAAGACTTTGTATATCGGGTTGCTTTTCCACGTCGTCGACTGAGGCTGACTGTGTGGTTATTTGGTTGCCGGATTTGTCCAGGTTTGTAGCTTCTGACATTGTATGGGAGGCATGCGGAGCAATTGAGTCCTCTGCCTCTTTAGAAGTATCTGCAACTCGGTCCATTGCCCAAGCTTTTGGTAGGAACCAGCCAAGCTAGAGTACAACAGGCGAGGAACGTGAACGACAAGAGTAGAAAAAAAGAATACAGGAAAGACTACAGGAAAGACTACAAAAAAGCGGAAAACAAGACAACATAAGCTTCACATTGGAAACTTTACTTTATTGAGTCTGTCCAGCAAGGAATCGTAAAATTGATGGACGATGGCACCCCACTTGGACCTCGTGTTGCAGCATCTGGCAAGCAGGTAGGGCTGCCTTTGAGTCGTCCTATCCAGATCGCATTCGGAAACATCCCACGAGGTTCCCACCAAAAAGGAAATAAATGGGTCTCTGTTGGATCTAATCTGATCCGGGCTGATAAGCGAGTCATGTTCGCAGTTTCGAAGCGCCTAAGAAGCACTCAAATGGCAGTGCTTCGCGCCTTGAGCCATGGATAAAGTCTCGGTCTGTCAGAACCAACGCAGACAACCCCATCGCTGTGAACCAATGGCACAGCCTAGAGTGGAACTCGTCACATTCTCGCTCCATCTGGAGAAAGATTAGGATCAGATAATAAATGCCAAGAGGCTCCGCGCGGAATGTGGCGTCTTGCTGCGTCGCAGGGCAAGCCATCATTGGGCAGATGGTCGTAATAGTGGGCACGGAGCAATGGTAAATAGCCAAGAAATTCAAGCTTGCGTGGTCCAATTTCTTTTGCGGAATTCCTGGCTCCGAAATTCCTGTTGAAATACCGCTTGGCTAACGGAGTCTGCACATCTTGACGGACATCGCCGAGGTATTGCCGATGGTCTGATCTTTAACTACCGGCCAGAAACAATTTCGCTATTCTATACTACATCACCATGCGGAAAGGGTGGACATTTTCTCCCTCCGATGGCGGCTCTGGCCGGAACATGGCCGCTTGGGAAGTCTCAACCGGCACGCAAGCTACGTACTTGGTGGAGGTTTCTTGGCCACTTACCTGGGGAGAAACAAATATATCAGCCGTCGCGAATGTAATGTACGTCTAATGTCCAGTGGATCCTGCTTCAAGTGGCGGCACTAACGTACTTACTTGCAGATTCGCCGTAGATGGCAATGCGATATTTCTCACAGCAACAGACGTCACTCGGCGACAAGAGTCACTTAACCCTAACAAACCTGGGACCATTGTTATTGCAATTGGGTATCCCTTGAAAGATTCTGTCTATAGTCCTCAACGCTCCTTGGACCTCACTCCGCCATGTGATCACTATACTCCGCCTGAAGGGCCCGACGGCAGGCCTCGACCGGAACCGTACGGTGGTGCAGATCGGTTCCTTTCGTTTATTAACCATATTGTACGTCCATTTATGGCCTCATCCGTCTTCCCTAATGTTCGATTTGCTCGGTCGGCTCTGTTTGGTCATTCGTACGGAGGACTCTTTGTATTGAACACCCTTTTCACGCAACCGACGTGCTTTGATATGTATATTGCAGCGAGTCCATCGATATGGTGGAATGGGCGATATATTCTCACCAAGTTACCACAGTTCCTACAACAACCCAGGACGGGTACGCAACCTATACTGCGGCTATCATACGGCACCCGAGAGCAATTTCCTGTGCGCCGGCGCAATGAGCCACTGGAAAAATACGAACGACGGGTTGGTTCGGCGGCAAAGCGTCGTATGGTAGACAACTGCAATGAGTTGTATTTACAGCTCGTGGCTAGCCAACATCTCGGTGCTGTGGAGAGGAGAGAGTATCTGGATGAAGACCATGGAAGTGTCATTAGCCCGGCGTTGAGTGGAGGGATTCTCTATTTTCTACAACTAGAAGAGGAGGCCAGGTAGTTATGTTATGTTAGATGCAGTGTGTGATCTTATCATTGCTAATAAAACAAAGTAAAACACAACGATACCTTTCGGCTGCTGTCCCATAGATACATATCATGTAGGCTCTTGCACTATGTCCACAGTTCACAGATCGACCTGGGGTCGCATAATGCGCTACTTCTTGGAGTAATAAGTCTTTCCCCAATATTCTTCATGACATGCTTCTGGTGCTTACCACTTCCTGTTCTCGGGAAGTCGTCGGCAACGCCAGGGTCTCCGATCCAAAATATGTGCACTGGTGCCTTATGCCAGGCTAAAGTCTTTCTCACCCAGCCCTGCACCTCCTCGTTTGACAGCCTCTCCGCACCAGTCGCACATTTCAGGAAACAACCTACAACTTCCCCATACTTTGTATCAGGTAGACCGAAGACACTTGCTTCACTGATTGACGGATGTAAAGCGAGTCGACTCTCGACTTCCCAGGGGGAGATGTTCTCCCCGCCTACTATTTCAGTTATGTTTCTCAGAACGGGACTAACATCAGATACTCACCTCGAATAATAATATCCTTGATCCTCCCTGTAATATGACAGCAGCCACTCTCATCAATGACGGCTTCGTCTCCCGTGCGCATCCAGATGTGTCCGTCTTTATCCCGTGTCATCGCCTCCGCCGTCTTCTCTTCGTCGTCAAAGTATCCCTTTTGCAATGAGTATCCACTCGTATAAAGTCCGCCCTTTTCTCCTCGGCTGGCCACCTCGCCGCTTCTATTCAAGACCTTTGCAGAGACATGCGGCATCATGCGTCCTACCATTCCTGTCGACTCCTCTAGCCCATTAAGGGAGCCCATGGATATAAGACCTGCTTCCGTCATCCCATATACGACATGGACCTCCTTTACGTTCATCACGTCACATATTTTCTTTGTCAACGCGGACGGCATAGGAGAGCCTCCCACCACAGCCGCCCGGAGGGAAGTGCCAGCCTGTCCTTTGGCCATAGCGTCCAACTCCGCCACGAACATGGTGGGGACACCTAATATGACAGTAGGTGCTTGCTTCTGTATAGCTTCCAGGACTGCATGTGTAGCAAAGTGATCCGACGGGAGAACAATTGAGCTACCATGTGTCAAGGGAGCAAGAAGCCCTACTACAAAAGTGAAGCTATGGAATAGCGGAGCTGGAGAGCAGATAATATCATTCGGAGTAAGGCTTAAGCGGTCGCCGACTAGAAAACCACATCCAAGGAGGGTACTACTTGAAGTTAGAGGCGGCTCATCATTTGTAGCTAGGGTTTGTGCATACGTGGCTGTTAACATTCCTGCTTTGGGGTTTCCCGTGGTACCTGTGTGCACTGGTTAACCGAATAGATCTGGGAAGTTATGAAAGAGCTAACCAGAGGTAAACTCGAAGCGAACCACGTCGTCGGGTGTCACGGCCTTCTCTGCCAAGTCGAGCAGAAATGTTGCATCGACCTCAGGCGCCGTTACACCTTCTTTGTACTCGGAAAAGAGGGCCTCGTACGTGTGTAGGCCCTGAGCATAGCCATCATAGTCACTCTGTCCGATAGTAAGGACCCCACGTAGATTTGGGAGTGCGCCTGACGACAACCAATCCTTCGCCATTTCTACATGAGCGGAGAGGTCTCGACGGCCGATTTGAGATGCGATGAAGAGGAGCTTGCATGCTTTCTTGTATCAGTTTATCGTTGAGCGGTGACTACGCCTGAATATTTCAGCCTTGAGTAACTTACAGGTTTTCCGTACGGCCCTCTTCAGCTCCTCAGGGGTGTATGTGCTATGCAGAGACACGACAGGACATCCGATGCGTGCCCCTCCCATAAGTACTTCGATATGCTGGCATGAATTGCCAGCCATGATACCGACACAATCACCGTGTGCCAAGCCCATCCCCAATAAGGCTTTGGCGACATGCTTGCTCCGTTGTGCTAGTTCATCGTAGGAGAGGTTTATTCCCTGCCATGGCGATAATATTGCACGTCTCTTGCCGTGAATCGCTGCCTGCTCATCGAGCAACTGGCCAAAGGTTTTCGAATAAAGTGGTGGCTCTGTAGGCCCTCTCACGAATGCTCGCGGAATACCGTTTGCTTCCATAGTATCATAAAGGAACTAAACAGTAGATTGTAAGAGATGTACCTCAGGTATAATTCTTCCCCTGTTGTTAAATATATTGTCCACGCTATCATATGCTAAAACCGAGGTATATGAAGATTCCGTGGCTTCGAGCGACCATGGGTCGATTATTCCCCATCAAGTTTATATCATGATTGCGGTCGTCATCATCTAGAGATCCTTGTCACTACCACAGCTTCATCAAGCTTGAACCGTGGAATCATCGCGGGGTTTTATGGCACACGCCCATCACTTCCCAACAAAGACAGGAAACAGAGCAAACCATGGTTATGACCTTGAACTGAAGTCCTTAGCATGCCGCCCGTCATAGTTCCAAACTTGCCTGCTCTCACTTTGACCATGAAAATATATTGAGCCAACGCAAAGAGCGACGATCGTAAATGAGCAGCGCTCATTCTCATCTACACGTCCGTTGTCATCTTCCTCCATAATGCCTCCGTCTCCTCTGGTCTCCGTAGTGGGCACTGGACTTCAGTACCCCCAACACAAGCTTGGGCCGGAGTTTGTCCCTAAAATAGTAACCAACTGCTACGAAGACAATGTCGCGTGAGCGTCTCATACCGCGGTCACTACACAGGCTAACCTGTACTCTTCAATTAGGCTATTGAAGTTAATTGAAATCAACGAGAGGACGAAAATCGAGAACCGCTACAGCATCCTACCGACAGACTATCCCATATGGCTCCAAGACTACATCTTGACGAACTCCGAATGTGATAGTATGTTCAAACAGTATGGCATCCCGCTAGCAACACTCGCGGCGACGCAAGCCATCGCAGACTGGGGCGGCAATGCGATGGACATCACCCACGTGGTTGCTATGACCTGCACAAGTACGTCCAGCCCTGGATTCGACTGCACACTCTGTCAGGAACTAGGGCTCGCCAAACATGTTCGTCGCACATTGGTGAATGGGGTCACTTGCGCTGGCAGCGTGGCGATGCTGCGTACAGCATACGACCTTCTGCTTGGCGCAACACAACAAGGCAAGCCGGCCCGTGCTCTTGTGGTCGCCGCTGAGACCCAGACTGTTTATATCAAGGGTTGGTTGGACACTGTTGCAAGGGATTCAATACCTAATCTTGCCCCGACCTTGTTCGGAGATGGTGCCGGCGCACTGGTACTCAGCAATGGGATCGGTGTCAAGGAAAGTGAAAGAGAGGCTATATGGAATATCCAAGGTGCTCAGTCAACGCTTCTGGATGAAGCAGGAAATATCGGGATTCAGTGCACTCCTACAGGTAAGGACGGCCCATATATGTCTTGCTAACTCTACTAATGGAAGCCAGGCATCATGCCAATAATCTCCAAGCAAGTCCCGAGACTCGTCCAGGCCGCCTTGCCACCTTCATTCGGGAACCTCATTAGCAATTGTCCCTCTCTTCGCCTGGAAGAGTCCAACTTCGACCCTACTACATACGACTGGGCTTTGCATCCTGGAGGTCAGGCGATCCTGACTGCTGCTGAGAACGCTTTAGGACTTTCAGCTGATGATCACTTACAAATGAGCTATAAGTGTTACAGAAATGCAGGCAATACCAGTTCAGTGACTGTTCTTAGTATCCTGCATCAGCTGGCACGGGGATATCGAGAGGGATCGCCCGGTCGTTCCAAGGTGATCGCTGCGGCCTTTGGCGCTGATATAACTGTGGAGATAATGGTCCTTACGAAGCCATCATGCGGGTCAGTCCATTGACTAGTTGGCTGCTTCATCAGCAGACTACTAGTCGGTGTCATTCGGTGAAATCCTATGGTGATTGATAGCATATAATAAGTCTATGAATCTCGTATACTCCATCCGTCCATCGTGTCGATGTAGTCTTCGACTCCGGCCGTCATATTAACCATTTCCGCCGTTATATATTCTGCTAAGCCGGTAGTCTGGAGTTGTACTTAGTTCGTCCAGCATGCCATGCCATTGGATTTCCTTATTTAGACTTACTGGTGTATACAACATACGAAACATTTTCAGTAAAGCATTGGATGGTCCTGGCCTTCTGAGCATGATAATGTTGACATGCACTGTGAAGAAGTGATTTATGCATTTGTATACGAGACCATGACTCAGAAGGAAGTTATGCCAGACCCTGACTAAACCCGAACGGGATACCGACTCTGCACATGACCGAGCTAACCCGATTAGCCTGCGTTAGGATCTCCACCTGAATGCAGTCATCCCGCTTGGCAATCCTTATATCCTGGTCTCGTCGGCACTTACAATGACAATCCCTGCCTCTTCACAAAACCCCAAGAACTCGCCATCTGGTCGGGTCCAGGACAATGAGTATAACTGACATCTTCTCGGTGGACATCGCTCTCCGGACTGGGCAGAATAATACCCACGAGTCATATCTTTACTCTCATTTGACGGGAGATAAAATCCAAGGCGTAGTCACCGTTCGTTCGCATTGTGATATTCGTGTGGATGGGATCGAAATATCGTTTATAGGTATGCCCTAATCCAGCATAGTTACATGAACTGTCTAACATGGTAACAGGAGAGGAATGGACGAGACTACAAACTGGAAAGGCCTACCGTCAATTCCAGGATCTCAAGTTCTTAATTGATGACTCATGCCTTCCACCTCATAAGCTCTTCAAGGAACGTCACAAGTATCACTTCGAATTCACCTTCGAGGTGCCAGACCATCTGTCTCCGGATGTCTGCAACCATACGATTACGAGCCCGGCCATTCGACAGGCCCATCTACGGCCTCCCCCAAGCTTCGGTGATCCCTCCGTATCTGGCTTCGGAGGCAAGTTAAAGGACGACTATGCGCCGCCGGAATGCAAAATTCTATACACTATCCAAGCCGCTTTGTTTCGCAATATCCCCGTCATCGACAGGCGGGATATTCTGCTCGTACACAAGATCAAGCTACGAGTCAAACCGGCCGTCGACGAATGGCCGCCTCTAGATATGTTGGACAGCGCGAATGACTATTGCTTAGAAGCAGATCGCGCAGTTCTCGACAGTCGCTCAAAGGAGGAGTACGGCCAGTTGACCGTGACGTTGGAGCCACCGAAAAGCTTCCGTCTTCCGCTACGAGACCCACACAGTTTAATAAGCAGCACAGTCAACCTGTTCCTGCACTACCGAGTCACAGGGGATCAGTCTGCCCTGCCCCAGATTCAGTCATTCCGGGGACGACTCGTTGCTACTACATTCTACACGACATCCTACTATGAAGCCGTACCAGCAAAGAAGAAAGATTTCTTCGGCAGACCGAAGAATTACTCCGAAAGCCCCTTTCCGCCATTCTCATACTCTATAGCCTCGGTAGACTGGGTGCCCGCCGAAGAAAACTGCTACGTAGCAACACTGCTAGTGCCCATCACATTGCCACGTCTGAACTTCATCCCGTCGTTCCACACCTGCCTTACTTCCCGCGTGTACGCCCTGGACTTGCGACTGGTGGTCCCCGGCGCTGCGCCGTTTTATCTGAAAGCGCCCGTGCACATTTACGCCCAGCGAGACCCATCCGCGTTGCCGTCGTACATCGCGTCAGTGGGCTTCGACTCGTCCAATATTTAATGGGTCCGGTTTATGACCGGGAACATATAATGGTTTTACGTCGTTACGAGATTCAACCTCATGTCAGCGTGTATTTTAGTTCGCTAAAGCGGCCATAAGCGACCTTGCATTGCCGCGTTTCTGTCGTATTCAACTCGACCCGTTCAACACTATATAGCCAAGTTCTGCTATTGCCTTAAATATATATTTAATCAACTTATGACCATAGATACAAACAACTGCTCAGTCAATATACTATCTGATTTGCTTATCTACCTGTCCATTCCATCGTCAAGATCCGCTAGCCAAAGCAATGTTCGTAAAAGTCGTAAATTATCAAACATGACCTTATCATGGGGCTAGTGACCACCCCTCTTACCAAGCAGACCAACCCTCTCCCCAGTTGCTGAACGCATTTACAGGCTATAGGTACTTAATAGTATATTCACAACGTTCGATCTTCCCTTGATAATCACCCGAAACCAGTCCCAGTATATGTGACTCTATCCACACCCTGAATACACGAAATTCTGCACACAAATATCTAGTAACCCGTGCCCACACACGACTTCATGCAGGGTTGAACACGCAGGTCATAAATGAAACTTGTTAGACAGCACGGGGTGTTCGTGATGGGGAGCTGGAATCCATGTTCATGGTGCCTGCATATCAACACCATTAGCATAAACTCCGAAGAACAAAAACTAAGAGACCACCGTACGGGCTGCCCACTGCCGAGCCAACCAAGGGGAAAGAATCGCCCCTAGAAGAATGGCGGCGGGGGTCAAACAATTCGCGATCGCTGATATGAGCGCGGGGTCTAAAGAAGACATGCTTTTCTTACAAACTCTTTTTTGGAATAATTGTCAGTAGCTGCAGACCTTGGGGCATGGAAATACTTACACTTGGGGGTGCTCGCTTTTTCTTTCCGTGTAAGGAGTGTATGGTACCTTCTTCAACCAGGTCAATAACTTCAAGGTTGAGAGGTGTTGGGGTAGTAGGTAGTAAGAAGTGGGGATGAACTGAGAGTGGGATTTACTTTGACTATTCCCCAGTCGGTGGGTGTAGAGGGAGAGCATTATATAGAATCCAGATCAGAGATAGATGTAGGATAAAATTGCCCTGGGGTTGAGATACATGGCATACAAGTCTACAACTACTAAGATGGCTAAGTGGAGATATGTGGAGCCATCATACCGCTACTAAAGTGTGCATAAGCTAATCATGGGCCTTTAATTCCTGTAATCCCTGTTTGGATGGAGCGCGCCGCGGCTCATACAAACAGGGATTATACTGTCGCCGAACAAAAATGAGGCCTTCTCGTTTCAATTCCATGCCTTTTTCTCCAATATCGAATGCAAAATGAGGTATCCAAAGGCCATTCTGGATGTGGCTTCAACTTTGTCTAATATCAAGACGGGGAAGATCTTCTCTTACATCGCAACAAGTTCAAGGGTGTCTTGGCTCGTTACACTCTCTTTGAAATACACTATGTGCCTCTGTCAAGGGGTCAGGTTTGAATTTAGAAGCTCCATGCGCTTTCAAGACCCTTCTAGGGGGGCGGAATATGACAATGATGCCTCGTTGAAAGTAGAAGTACTAGGTCCTTGAGAAGTCAGTCTAGCCGCTGTAGCGTGCTAAACTGGATACCCGGGACTCGCACTGGATATCTTTAATGACGGGGCTTCGTAAAGCCTTTAGTCCATCGAGATCGAGGCGTTAGTGTTTCCTTTGGTTACTCAACTCTTGGTTCTGATCCGATGCTCAGCAACTGGTCACCCAAGCGCAATTATATAAGTTCACTTTCGCACTCCTCCTTGGGAGGGGGTTTCATAACTATACCTCCTCAACAATAAGATACATATCCATGCCAACAAAAAGCTAGATCTCAATGACAGGCCCCTCATAAACCCCCCTCGCCCTCACCAAATAATACCCCAAACTAAGTAGCACCGTCCCCCCAGTGCCAACCACACTATAATTCATCGACTCGGAATTAACATCATTAATCGGCGGCCAGAAGCTAAAGAACGTCGCGATGAACATATAAACCAACGAGAAGATATTAACCCCGATACCCCATATGCCGGGAAGATGGAATGGGCCCCAGACAAGCTTGGCGCCAGCGGTATTGAGCATCGTTTGTTCGGAGTTCCGCTTGGCCTCGCTGATTTCGCCCGTGCAACGTCGGTAGAGGAGAAGGCCCGCGGCGATCATGTAGGAGAGGTAGAGCCCGGAGGTGGACATGGAGACGAGACTGTTGAAGGCGACGTCGGAGCCGATATTGATCAGGTTGAGGAGGCAGCCGATTGTGCTGGTCCAGAGGACAGTGTAGGTTGGAATTGCAGTACGGGGGGTTACCTATGGTTCTCATTTAGTAGATTGTTGGGATGATGAGGGAGATGGACATGGGGGGGCTTACCTTGCTCCAGATACGCCATCCGGGTATACCTCTGTCCCGCGAAAAAGACCAGAACTGGCGCGAGGCCGATGCTAGCATGCCAACAGTTGTGCAGCAGCACATGGCTTGGATCACGGAGCCGGCTGCGGCCGTTCCGGCGGTGGATTCCGTGGCTTGGTAGAAGATGGAGAGGAAAGGCACTCCGGTGGGCGATTTTAGCGATGTTTCAATGTCGCCGAGGCAGAAGTATAGGGCGATTAGCATGCTGAAGCCTAGTGTTCCGTTGATCAGAACTGTGAGCATTAGCGACCACGGGACGGCGACTGTTGCGTTGGTCATTTCTTCGACCATCTGTGGTGCTCTATGTTAGCAATGCTTCTGTTATTTTTCGTTGGGGATTAACGTACGTGCACTGCTGCGTCGCCGCCTGCAAATGCGAACACGGGGCCAATAATGCCGATAAAGAAGGAAAGACCTTGGGTCGGCCAATGGCCCTCGTTGATGAAGTATGTGAATACTTCGGAGGCTGGTTTATGCTCGGCCATGTACGTCAATGGGATCAGGATGGCAAAGAAACCCAGGATATGGAGGATCAAAATTGTGCCCTCGAATCGAGGCAGCAGCTTGCCTCCGATGATGTTTATACTGGCTGCGAAGACTGCTGTGGCCCATGAGTAGAGCGTCTTCCGCCACGGTGCCGGTGTATAATCAGGATTGGTGAGAATGACCAGTGCCTCGATGAAGTTTCCATTCAGATACAAACCCGTAGCGTATGTGGCTTGCCATCCGATGACCGTGAGCCAGCCTACCTTTCTCATTAGTCTGAATAGTTCTAGCTTGGAATCCTCACTTACCGGTAATATAACTGCTGACTTTCATGACAGACTTCGGTGCCATCATTGAGCACCAGTGGTATTGACCGCCTGATGTCGGTGCCCTGTAGAGCTTTTATCAATGTTCTGCTGGGCCATAGGATATGAAGATAGCATACATCGATACTAGCTCAGATACCACGGCAAATGTGGCTGTAACACCGACCCAGACAAATATGTAGCCGTATACTGAACCGGCTGGACCACCACTAGCATGGAGTCAGAAAACGCCTGAAGTCTGTAGTGAGTACGCAACAGTTCACATACTTCTGAAAGGACTGAAGAAATAAACTATAGATTTCCCATTAGCCCGACTAATTGCATGCATGACGTGAGAGGTGCATGGCCTACGTAGTTACGGCTTCCCAGGTGATAAGAATAGTGCAGCTGAAACCGACCATGGACATTAAACCAAAGTTTCTCTGCACAGCGTCAGTGAGCTTTCTATTTAGGGCAAAACAAGGGTTGCTTACTTGCAAGACAGGGCGCTTCCCCATACGGGCTAGATAAATATCGTCCTTGTTCTGATAAGATGGTTGTCCCTCAACCTCCTGCAGAACGGGAGCGCCCATTTCCTTCTGCTCGTATTGAGCCATGGCATAGGTATGAGAATTGACTGATCAGAAATCTGAATTTTCTCAGATCGGCCCATGCGACGATCAAGGCCCGAGCAGAAACAAAAAAGCAAAGAAGCAAAGGTTAGAAAAGCGACATGAAACAGATTTTAGAATTTAGAAAAGAAGCTTCGGATAGAGAAATAGCTCAACGTCCTGCAGGAGACGAACATCGAAGAACAAGGATCAGATCCTATTTACTATGTTTCTCTTTCCGAAATTATGCAGGTGCATGTTTTGCAAGTTTTCCCCCCTGTTAGGTAAAATTATTGGGTGTAACTGCATTTCGCATCTCGGGCGTAGAATCCTTGTAGGCCGAGGACATGGGAAGTGCAACCCTGCAGGGATATGAGGCAGCTAGAGGATCTCGCTGTTTGTTCGCCGTTGGTGCACGCTACTGCTAAGGTAAGCTAACACGTACCTGGTGGAGCTTGTCAAATGTCGTCTGTCCGTATTTCGAGGTGCCTAAGTGGATCTGCCGTGGAGATCGAAATCTGGAACGCTTCGGAGAGGTTAGTGGAGCATCGGGGTTGCAACGGCGCATCCTAGCGCTCCAACTTGACAGGGGTAAGGCTGATAGTATGATCACTTGTCCAAAGTGAGGTCCAACAAAAGTACGAAAAGATTAAAAATTTGAGATATCGGAGTTGACGGATACGTGTATTATTATGCTCAAGTGTACAGCCCCATTCTAACACGAAAAATAATATGGAAGATGGAGAATGTAACTCTGTGTGCTAAGACGATCATTCCCTTAGTGAGCTACGCGGTGACGCGGTAACAGCCCATGTGCGAACCTCACGGATTATGTGGGCCTCGCTGGAATCGCTCGCCGCGTCCGAGTCCGGTTTGGCCGTGATTATCGTGGTCTGGCGATAACTCTTGCTGCGACCAATAGAAGTCAACTCATGATCCTCACGGAGAGGTTGATCCAGAGTTTGCCATTGCGACTTAGTCCGGGAAGAATGATTGTATGCACTACGAGACGCATCGTGGCGTGTGATTCCGTCAACACGTAGGCCAGTCGAACGGAGGCTGTCCAAGAAAGGTTTGAATTGAGGGGAGCAGGCGGTAACCACGCTCAAGCACTGGGTGAGCTGCATGCATATCGCCAGCGGCCAGGTCCCAGAGATTGGGTCGGAAACATCAATGGTTCTATTGGCGTACACCAGTTGACCGATTATGGCAATAATCACGCTTGGTCGCTGATTAGAAATGAACTGAGGTGCAGCACTGTACAGATGAATACTACTTACAAGATTCGCAGCCCGAATACAACAGACAAGGTGAGCTTCTTTTTCCATCGAGCCTGAATACGGGTAATAATCAGGACTGCATACGCTATAATGGCCCCATCAGTGAGAATGTTCATCACTCCGATGTAATCCCACCAAGCCGCGATATTGAAACATTGTCCGGATAGATAATCCCATGTTCGGGGCAGTTTACACTTGAAAGCTGAACTGATGATACCGGTGACTGCCCATAATGCGATCAAAACCTCCAGCCCGGAGGCAACGCGGCGGTCTGAAGCAGCCGGTGTTACACTCCGGGTAAAGTGGACGAGAGCCAACTGGGAGAAGCACATGCTGAGGATGAAGAGGATTGTGGCGGCATATTGTGACTGGTCAGTCATTAGAAGTTGTTCGGCAGTGAAGCACAAGAAAGACTACCTTCATGATATTGTCAATGTTTGTCTCCGTTAATGTATCATAATGGTCACCATATCCATTCGCAGTGGCTAGTGACACGGCGAGGGACTGTGCTGCGCAGCTCACCTAGAAGCAGATCAATAACCATCGTAATGTAAACCTCACTCGCTCCGGAGACATGCTGTTCTCACCATCGAGACAATACTAAGATAATCATCCGTAGTCCATCGTCGAAAAATCCAATATTTAGTCCCCAGCCGAGCAAAGACGCCAAGGATGGCGGTCACCATCAGAAACCATGTCAAGACATTGACAGCAGGCTTCCAAGTATCGGTAAACCTCCCCATTGCTGTGTGAAACTAGGTACAATACACATAGTCAGCTCCGGCGGCTGGCGACACTTATTAGAGCAGCTGAGCCGCGCCAGCATGACACAATCTATTACATCTGTCAATTAGCCCAAACCAACATGCCGGAGAGATCATTCCCTGACACGAACGCAGGATGACAGGGGTCTAGTCTGGGCAAACGGCGCCTATGAGCAAAGAAAATTTCCCATGTAGCGGCGGGAACTGGTCAACTGGTGTGTATAGTCCATCGAAACTCCATGGAACATGGCTATGATTCCTTCGCACGGTGCTCGCCTATCGCGGATAGGTGATAAACGACCAGACCTCTAGACTAGGCCCCTGAGCAGGGATGTTGACAATGGAAATATAAACCCTGCATGACGGTGGAGACATGTTACATGTACACCTCGGGTCGCCAAATCGTAAGTTCCTAGCACCGACATGTGCGCGTAGGGGACGGAGTTATGGAAAGCAATGCTGCCTTCAGCATCATGCCATGTCCAGGGCGAGCAAATCGTACTGGTCTCGTCGCTGTAGCTCCTCTTGCATTCATACGGGTTGATGTAATTCTCCGGCTAGAACTGGAATTGGCTTGGCACAGGGACGGCGCATATAGGGCTCCGCCAAGCGCGACTGCACCAATGGCGTTGGTAACTCTTCACGACGTACTTTGTTTAGTCTGATTTGCATCTGGATTTGGGAGAATACCTGAGATTAAAATTTAGTAAACTCAGGAACATACCCGAGTCTTCCGTCGACGGGCATCCCAGGCAAATAGGGAGGAGACGGATATCGGCTGTGCGATCCACAATGACCTGCCTTAAGTGGAAGCCAGCTCGGGCCAGGGTTACATAGACCTTCTGGCGGATCTCCAATGCCGGCCGTTAGGCCCAAACCCTGTTCGCCCTGTACACAGTGTGGAGCCTCAAGCCGTTCTCAGGAATATGTAGGCCATCCTTCGTGGCTTGGAACGGGGTTGAAGTGATGGCGCGACTCCAATATTTATCACCGAGGTCTTGGCTTCACTCTGGTACTTTGTTAGCAGAGGTGTATTAAGATGGTAGATGGGAAAAGGCATGCGCCATTGAGTTTTAAGAAATTATGATCATTATTGTGTTTGTCAATGTTGCGTTCCGACGGGGGGGAATTTGTGTATGGGATAGTATACTTTCAGGGCAACCTGCACAGGCCGATCTGGAGAATTTCGGGGTATTTGTATCCAAGATATCATGCGATCTTAAACGCGGAGAACATACAGACAAGGTCAATATCAGCCAGAAGACGTGTCACCGGACTAAGTAGCCTGCAGGAGATGTGGTAAAAGGTGATATGTCTTCGAAGGGACGAACGGGGATTTGTTGATCCTTGCGAAGTTAGGGAAAGAAAGAAGAGATCGACACCTGACATACAAGGCCTCAACCTGTAGCCAGGCACCAAACGGTTCCAGGCACACTTTCCTGATTCGGTAACCCAGCGTAACTAATAACCCAACGTCGACAGGATCCCATCATCGGGGCCCTTGATGGTGCAGTGGGAGCTGAGGCTTGCCCTGCGTACTCGGACCTCGCGATCGAGCCTCAAACTCGACAGAACAATCCTTCGGGGTTTTCGTAGCTTCTGGATGGCTGGCACAGCGGAGTCGGACCCGGGAAGTGAGCTTTTTGTTCGGAAAAAAACTTTGGATTCTGGAGTTATTTTCTCTATATATCTTACGTTCGATTCCATGTGTCTTCTACTGGCTTTTTGCTCTTGAAGTTGCTGTGTTCGTTGGCGCGTTGGTTTGGCATGGGTGGGTTTCGAATCCAGAGCAAGATGAGGCCTGAGGTTATCTAGCGTCATGTGTGAACACATGACATCAGGGATAGATATTGATGACGGCATGCAAAGTTGCAATGTCGGCCATTCACGGGAGCTGGAGAAGAGATGCTCTCACTGCATGATCATAGTATATCCACTGCTGTCCAGATGCGCAATAGGGCTCTCAGACCCGACGAATAGCTAACCCTCCAGCTTGATGCCGATATAATTTCCTTTGTCTATGATAACAATCCTAGAACAAACCCCTTGAGTTGAATATAGGACGAGATGGGGCTCTAGCAGATCATTTAACGAGATTGAACGGTTCATATAATCTGTTCTATACTCCCGTTATAACATTCCGCAGCCTTACAAGGTATGGACGAATATTGGTCCGTAACACGAGGTTCCACATGCGAACCTTAGCAAACATTTCACCGGTCATTGGAGGATCCAGGACAGGGAGTGGGTAAGTGGAATGCTTAATTCTTGTTTATTGAAATGTTGTTTGACTGGAGGACTTGGCAGTGTGGCTGTGCAACGAGTCTGGAGTCTATATCTGGCGGGTTATCGCTCACTTCGACCTGGCCTGAGAGAAAAAGATTTCATCCGATAATGACTGGGTCTCTTGCCTTGTTACGTTGATTTACCAGTATAATCTACTAATTCAAGATGAACAAACTAACTGAGATGCTCGTTCTACGAGAAATTCGATTTAACGACGGTAGATAGGAAATGATCATAACTCATAAATGCTGACACACGACCAGTCCAGTACACCAGAGCACAATCTACGCTATCGCATGGCGGCGCGTTGCATCGTCCGATCGGCGGCCAGGACGCGGTATACTCGCATCAAATCCTCCATCGAGGCCAGCGTATCCGGATGTTCCTTCCCGAGGGCCATCTCTCTGCCGCGGACGGTCTGTTCCGCCACTTTTTCGGCATCGTCCCATCTCCCTTGAGACTGGTAGATGGCACCTAAATTCGCCATCGTGGTCAGCGTATGGGGATGCGCGTCACCAAAGGACTTGCGCATCAACTGGAGCACCTGGAAGGTCAACCGTTCCGCTTGCTGCGACTTGCCCTGCTGCTGATACGTCAACGCCAAGTTCGCCATCGCCGTCAAGGTCAAGGGATGATCCTCCCCCAAATGTGTTTTCATCGACCCCATGACCCTGGTTCCCAATTGCACCGCATCCCCCAACCGCCCTTGACACCGATACGTGGCGGCGAGGTTCCCCATCGCCATCAGCGTCTGCGGGTGATCCACTCCCAGCACATCCTCGCTAATCTTCGTGACTTTCAGCTCTAGCTGCTCGGCCTCTGTCAACCGGTCCATATCCCGATATGAGGTCGCCAAATTCGCCATGGAGGTCATGGTTAGGGGATGCCTGCTCCCCAAATGAGCCACACGGGTTTCCAGCACCGCTGACTCCAGCCGTATCGCCTCCTCCAGCTTCCCTTGTTCGCGGAAGGTCACCGCCAAATTCGATTTCCACGTCAACGTGGACGTATGCGACTCGCCCAAGAGCATCTCGCACTGTTCCACAACGCGTCGCTCCAATCTCTCCGCATCCTCATACCGCCCCAGACTTGTATACGTGGTTGCCAAGTTGCCGAGGGTACTCAATGTGGAGGGATCGCCCTCCCCCAGCGTCCGCCCCTTAACCTCCAACAACCGCGTCTCGATCGCCTCCGCCTCGGCAAAGCGACCTTGTTTCGCATACGTTGACGCCAAATTCGACATTGATGACATGGTCTGCGGATGCTCATCGCCCAGGACCCGTCGCCGAATGTCAGTCACCCGTCGTCCCAGCTCCTCGGCTTCCGACCACCGCCCCTGTCCCCAGTAAGCAGCCGCGAGATTACTCATCGCGGTGAGGGTGGAGGAATTCTCCGAGCCGAGCAGGGTGACTCGTGCATCAACAACAAGTTTCCCAATGTCGGCGGCGGCGTTCCATTGTCCATGTTCAAGGAAGGTCAGGACGAGAATGCCGAGGGTGTGTGCGGTCGCGATGGCGTCATCGCCCGGTGCATCGCGCAGTTTCGCGAGCGCAGAAGTCAAACGGCGGGATTCCTCCGTCTGACCACGGGACTGGTACGTGTTTGCGAGGGTCGTTACGGCGGATAAAAGGGTGCCATTCGTGGGTGTGGCCATCGATTTCTTTTCTCCGTGATGGGATGTTTATTTGTTGGAATTTATCGCCGTGAGACAGATGGGGAAACAGGAAGGATACCACGGGAGAATTAATCCCGCCAAGAAAAGGCAGCCAAACGGTGGGGAAGAGATAAGGCAAACACGCCAGCAACACTGGTATCAAACTTCAACTATGGCAGACTAAAGCAGGTTGGTGGAATTATCGTGAGGGTTAGTCAGGTCTCAGGAGGGAGAGATATGTACACCATCTCAAATTCGACCAGGACGGGGGTTTCCCAGCTTGGTCACCTGCTTTGGAGGAATTCCCTTTTTTATCCCGTGTGTAATCATCTTCTAAATTTGTCTGGTGAACGGCTGCTCGCGGCTCCAGACTGTAAAATTATCCCCTTCCTCCCCACCTGGTCAGCCCTACTAGGCTGGCATCCTTCCCGGTGATTGGAGGAGAGACCCAGGTGGGGAGACTTGTCAGGCAACCATATTCTGACCAATCGTGGAGAGCATGTGGGGAGTTCGTTTGCTTGGTTTGTACTATGAGGTATGGACCTGGTGGTGCCTATATAAAGTACATCTATCTGGATATCAGTTGGATTTTGTTGGATTCTGTTGATATGACTCTAGCATAGTCCTTTCCTGGGTAATATCAGCAGGTGTGCACATATCTGCCCATAAACATACAACTAACAACCTGTTCATACGTCCCAGGCTATTGTATATATATTCCGACGAGAAGCAAGCGTGCAGGAGAGAAGAATACCCAGATTACTTATTACTATAGCATCATCCCTTCCTGTTGGTGTTTGGCTAGACGAGATTGGTCAGCGCACTACGATGTATGAAGGTCTCTCGCATAATTAAATTCCGCGATTGGGATATAGTACTGTACCTCCCCTGGCTTAGTATCCGAGACCATATTCCACATCCTTAGACTAGTATGTCTTCCCGGCTAGTTCGAACCGGAAGGAAACCCCATATTAGTCCATGGTTCAAGTTCTGAAATTGACAAGGCTCAATCATAAGAATACAATCCGGTCCATTTCAACTTCGCTCACCCAACAACCCACATTCCCCTCCAATCTCCATTTAAACCCCAGAGCTCGCTATCTCATCCCCGTGACACACACTCCCCAAAGAAACCCCCCTCCCGACACCACAACCCCGTCCCAAGCTCATCCACAACCACCTCCAACCCCAGACCCTGATCCGCACAAGCCTGCCTCAACTCCTCCTGAAACGCTTCCCACCCATCCATATAATTCTGGTCCCAGAGCCGCCACGTAACACACTCCAACAGCGGAGTAAACCCACGCCAATTAGCCACAAACTCCCTCACAAGCCCATCGACCTCATCCTGCTCCCACTCGAAATCATAGAAACTGCGCAGATCCTCCCGCAAACACAACCTCCTTAGGGACTTCGGCAGTTGAGGCCCAAGTTGCGGTGCATCCTGTAGATACCAGCCCATCAGAACGCAGAGAGGGACCTCCGCAGTCACCAGGTTCGGGAACCAGGAAATAATATCCCCGAGGCGTCGTGGAAGTGGTCGTCTGCGCCGTCCCAGTAGCGGTCGCCTAGCGTCGAAGGGTAGTATTCTACTCCGAGGGAGAGGTGCTGCAGTGTCGTGGCTACCTGTTTCAGGGCCTGCGCTAGCGTGTCTGCGTATTGGAGGACGAGTTCTCTGCCCCAGGCGTAGGCTAGGCCGAGGTGGAGGGTTCGGAGGTTGGGGGTCTGGGAGAGCAGGAAGGCGATGTCTGATTCGGAGATGGTGGTGCGTGCGAGGATGAGGGTTTCTACGTTGGTGAGATTGAGGATCGGGGCTTTTTCTCGGAGTTGGTTGATGTCGCGGAGCCATATTGATGATTGGCGTAGTGAGGGGAGATAGAACCAGGCTGTGAATTGGTCTGGGTTGTAGGCAGGATAGCCGTCCCGGGATTCGTCCTCGTGTTCGGCAATGGGGACGTTGCCGCCGTAGTCTACTACCTCGAGGTGTTGGAAGGTGGATAGCGCTCCGTTTGGGGAGAAGAGAGCTTGCTTTAGCATGAGCCCTGGGTACCCGTCCTGCCAGACGAAGGAGTAGTCCAGATGGAGCGACTTTAGGTTCGGGAGCTGGGAGAGGAGGATGGCCGTGTAACAGTAGATGTTGCCGTTGTTCAGGGGCAGCTGCCAGTCATCAAGGTCGCTGAACCCGGCTCGTCGGACAATGTCTATGGATTGGTCGGTGACATCGCTGAAGTCCTGGGACTCGGTTTCCCAGTTCATATCTGGCTGGGTTTCTTCCCAGGTTTCCGGTTCAGAGGACACAAGACTGACATGTTGGATGTACGATGCTATATCGGGCGAGTTGAATATCAATCGCAATAACTGCAGTACTCGGCGCAGAGGCCGATTAGTCCAGTCAAGGGTGACCTCCCGGTAGGCGAAAGGCGTGGCTGACGCGCGGATGTCTTTGCATGTCTTGGATACTGCTAATGAATCTTTCGTTGACAGTTGATCCAGGATAGATATCAAACAATCCGTGGGGAGTTGTGTGAAGGGCCTAGTTGGATTAGCAGTGTGTGAGATAGGAGGCACGCAAACGGTCTTACTTTTCCTTTTCCGAGGTTGACTTGTCGGTAGTCATCTTGCAGAAATAGGAGGTGAAGGTCCTGTGAGAAAGAGGGCTGAAAGAGGTAAGTGTGAGACACTTATTGTGACCCTGCAGACGATATGTGGGGGCTCGCTTCGCCAATACGAAGCGACTAACGTTGGGGCGAAGAAGTGGATTCGCAGAGTTTTTGGGTCGAGCAATGTGCAAGAGCTGCATGAAGAGTATGCTTACATTGGGTAAGTGCTAGGACTTTCATGCAGTAAGAATTGCCTCCATAGGTTGTCGAGTGAAGCTATCCACGGGATATAGAAGATTGACGATAAATGACCCAATCAAGTGATGCTGGGACCTGTAGATCAAGACTATCAAATCTTAACCACTCATTTCGGTAAACTTTAGCTCATTAAGGGGTACAGTTGACAGCATCTAGAACCATGCTAAGGAGGTTGTCAGTTCTTAAAATCGCTCGGCAAGAGCCGAACCGTCGGGAAGCTGCCGATATAATCGGCTCGGCGTCTCCCGCACGTGCAATATCCATACCCTATCCGACGAACTCATGCACAGCCTCTGCAATTATCGTTAGTGTTTGGGATAATCTCTTCCCTAGCTAAGCAGTATTCCTGATGCTGTTGTTCACTTCCCAACTTCCAGATTAGTGTACGATTTACGTAGCGCAACATCGTCCTTCTCATACCATAGCTCCTACGAAAACGGGCAAATATGACGGATATCCTGATCACACCTGCTAGCCACTCAGTTCAGAGTTACAGCATTAGATATCAGCGATCCACAAAAGTCATGCCATCCTTGTAGTCCGAGGAGCCCCATATGGACGACTGGGGATTGGGTAATTCTTCACGGGGCTTATGATTGGGGGCATGACCAAGCCATATCCACAATATTTGAAACGGCGATCTGTCTGCAGATATATCGGCAGCTAATCGGCTCTACCCGATATGGTAGACGTCTTGAACCTACCAGACCCTGAAACTAAGATAGCCGCTCCTCGCTTGTTTGTCTGCATACAGACAGTAGCGTCTACACCAAGCGGAATAACAGCTCGTGTCTCCACATTAGGAAGGAAACTAGCTCCGCAGGATGGGCGATATAGAGGGACTACTGAAGACATCGGCCGTTCCGTGCGAAAGTCACAGATAGGTTCTGCGATCAACATCGAAGTAGCCCCATCGGTGTGAATAATAATTTCTTACACAGACCTCAGTGTAGATAGTGACAGATTAAGGAAAAGGCATAAATACCTCTCTAATGCACCTGTCTTCAAGTTGAATCTCATCCATCACTCTTTTATTCCTAATTCATTCATTCATTCATTTTTCATATCTCTCTCCAACTACATTCAATCATTACCCCACTAAACCCTAATCCCAACCCCTAGGGGGTGTAATCCCAAAATGCTCCCCAAAATCTGCTACTTCCTCTTCTACCTCTTCCTCTCCCTCGTCGCGGCCACCCCGGTAGCCTTAGACGCCAGGGCCCCCAAGCCAGCCCCCGAACCCGTATCCCTCGGTCTCAAGGTCCAGAAAATCGACGACCTCAACAAGCCCGCGAAAGCGAAGAAAAGCTCTTTCGTCGAGTACTCCTCTATTCTCACTTTCAAGGATGGCAGCAAGATCACCAATGACCATGTTGTCGGACTCGCTAAAGCCGCCTGGTTGGAGATGTACAACATGCACCTGAAGGAAAACAAGGATAAGGTCAACAAGGCTACTTTGCCGACTGTCATGAGCGCTATGAAGGTCGGGAATGATGTTTATCTGGCGTCGAGTATGAAGGGCGGTGGTGGTCGTTATATCTACGTGGCGAGGGAGGATGCTGATAAGGGTAAAGAGACGGATAAGGGCAAGACCACCGACAAGGGCAAGGACGCTGATAAAGGCAAAAAGACCGACAAGGGCAAGGACACTGATAAGGGAAAGAAGACCGATAAGGGCAAGGACGCCGACAAGGACAAGGCTGAGGACAAATATGGTGAATTCACCAGTGTCTTGAAGGACAATGCCGAGGATGTTATGGAAGCCCTGAAAGCCGTCAGCACGCAGAGCCAGGGCCACAAGGGTGGTAAAGGTGCAGCTAACTCCAATGGGGGCACTGTGGCCCAGCATCGCACTCAGGCCAGCTGCGGCGAGGTGATGGTGTCTCTCGAGTATCGCTTGGATCACAAACATGACAAGCTGAGAAAGACGACGTACGAGCAAAACAAGGTGAAGCACAAGCCTGCTGTTGTTGCATGGGAGGGGCTGCAAAATGGTAAACTGATGAAGGGTGGAGGCAAGATCAAGCCTCCTTGTGGTAAGGATGTTGACGTTCAGGATGATGATTATTGCGGTGAGAACTGGGGTTGTGCGGCTTTCACTGGCCCGCCAGGCATGGATTTCGAGGTCATCGCGGCGGCCAACCCCAAGGATCCTAGCGCTGAGGACTTCCCTGCGTTCACCCATAAGAATGTGAACTTTCCCACGCCCGCCAAGATTAAGCAGTGATCCTGCTGCCCTATGAGTTGGAATCGATAGATGTGTGCGAGGTCAATCTTGCAAGGTGTTGCTGTGGCATGGGATCTACTAGGTGGTCAATTGACAGTGTATATAATACTAATTGAAACCAACTTTGTTATACCTACTACAATGCTCTTCGCTGCCCATATATAACGTAAGAAAAGAGCTCTTTAAGCCTCACTATGAATTGAAGTTCTCGGTGGATATAAAACAAAACTCAGTTCATGACACTTCAGCGCCTTGGTTGAAACCATTATACCTTAGGTACCCTAGTTAAAAAAGCGAATCACGACCGAATCCCCAACATCCCCATCGACATCACAATGCGATCCATCCAATCCTCATTCCCACTGGGATGAATCTGATAGGAATCCCGGAGATAGTCAGGATCGAAGCGAACCTGCCACTCCGGTGCATCCGCCTCCAAGCCACTCCACGGATTCGGCGACTGCAGACCGAACTTCTCAACATCCTCCCACGGCTCGGTAAGATAGTAACGACTACGGAGATCCGCTCTGAGCAAGACGATCAATTGGGTTAACAGCGAAATGCCCAATCGCATACCATAAAGCGAGGACTGCGCGAATGGGTCGACAAAGTCCCAGGGAATGGGACCAACGAACTGCTGCCAGGCGAGAATGGAGGCCTGGCGTTGATGAACTAGCGCACGTTGCAGTTCTGCCTGGAGTTCATCCAGTCGGTAGCGGCTGCAGTCGATTTCCCACGCCAACCTTGCCTTGGCCTCGGGGTCATCAGCTTTGATCACTGTCTGCGTCTCAACTATCCATCCAGGACAGCAGGCAACCTCTATGAATGCCCGATCAACAATGAGTGCAAGTTCACTACGGTTGACAGCCTCACTTTCGATGTCGGCTAACTCGCTCAGAAACGCCCGCCACTCTGGCTCGCCGAGGAAGCAGTGTTCCCCTCGGATCATTGCATCGGCGACCAGAAACGCTCGACAGGATTTGAACAACGTCAATCCAAACCCAGATCGATGTACCTCTTGCCCACGCATTTTGATCATCGTTACCAGTCCCCGCGTATGCGTCAGCCACGACGCTCCTGTAATGCCATCCACCATCTCATACATAGTCAACAGAATACCGGACGCAAGAGCCTCCTCTGTAGTGGCAAATTTCGGATGCTGTATAACGCTAGCCAGGTAGTTCAATGCCCGACTATACATATGTCGACTGCAGGTAACCTTATTCATATCGTTATACTTCCGACCAATGAAGACGGTCGCCAGCGCGCGGTACGCCCAGACCAGCGCCTGGGGTGCGGTGAGGAGCGGACGTCTCGCATAATCGATCCAGTTGACCTCGACGCGCTTCCCACAGGAGGCAAACTGGGCAGGAAAGCTGGTCAATAGGAACGTGCAAAAGACTCCACTTGTTGGAGGTCTAGGGCTGCGGCGACTAGGTTCGGCTCCACCCGTTCGTCGATGCTTTGGCAAGCTCGGACCAGGGCAGCTTCTCTGTGGGGTTGGGGTTGGCTCCGAGCGTTTCGTTGCTGGTCTTTTTGGATCGACGTTTTGGTTTGGTGCATGAATTTCCAGCGTTTTTCATAGCCGGGGCACTCGAGATTGCGCTTGGTGCATTGATTGCAGGATGGTTTGGTTAGATCGCACTATGAGTTTGCATTCTGGATTAGAGGTGCTTTTCTTCCTGCATGGACAAGACATAGATCCACAGCTTCTGTGGAGGGAAGAGGGGGTTCGTGTCCTTCCTGCCCATCAGGGAGAGGGGATTCGATGAGAGCTGAGACTAACCTTAACTCGTCTCCGCAAGCACGTTTGACATGCATTGCTTTTCGGTACTCCGACCATGTTATGTTACTCTATTTGGAAAGACGATCGGATGCAGCGTACACGGTGGTTGACGATGTGTTGCTGGTCAGCTCGAAGAGGAAACATGCTGAGAATACGACCGCGATGTGGGCCCTTGGCAGGGTCTTCGCACTGCCCAGACCAGCTCTACCTGATCCAGCATGGATTGGCATCCAAATCGCCTTTTCCTGGTTATTTCTCCCTCGATATGGTTAGTGGATGTTGTTGCGAACGCCGGATTGGTCGAGAATACGAGGCCCACTTGGTTCAGGGACTGGATGGTGCATCTGGATGTCTGAATTAGAGTATACCATGGATATGATAGTTTTAGAAAAGGATCAAACCTTGAGTTCAAACTATATCTTATGGAATAGTGAAGGGTCGACCCAGGGACGTTTTCGTCGTTGATTTAAAGTTGGGGTTTGATGTGCACGTGTTCAATTGCCGGTTATAATTAGTAGTATATATTTCTGATAACTGGTTCTGTGATAGATCACATACTAAGTCTTAATCATACAATCTCATAACATACTTGACAGAAGATATTAAAAAATAATAATAAAACCTTAAACTCGCAGGCGACTCACCAACAATCGTAACACAGTTCGAGCACCCAGTCTTCTCTTCCAGCGACCCAACCTCCTCCATGATATCTTTCATCAGCTTTCCCAGTTTTGAATACGTGTTGTCCATTCTTCCGGCCTGTTTGATCTGTTCGAGGACACATTGTTTGAGTGGCAGACTATGCCTCGCGCGTTTCGTGATTCCCGCATGATGCCACGTAGTTGGAAGTTCCGTGGTTGCGTAGTGAGCGCATGAACCAATGGACAGGAATATTAGCCCTCGTCGAGGTATTCTCAGAAGCCTTTCTGGGTTGCATAATGGGTTATAGTTATCAGTGGCAGGTCAAAACACTAAATAATTGATAGTTCTCACATCTTCTATCAGGTTCTTATAATCGTTGCGGATCTGGAAGTATTGGCCTAGTAGGCTGATGAGCGAGTCAAGTGTGATGGTGCTACGGAGGACGGGATTAGAATCATACCTATATTCCTCCTAATCCGCAGTTTGACGTCAATATTGTGACGGTCGCTTGAAGCTTTCAAAACAAGCATACTGGTCATTCCTGAGCCCAGATACCGCAATGGCTTGGCAGTAGGATGTAGCTCTATCCTATCTCCATACGATTTACTTCCTGCCACGTCTCAGCTAACGGCAAAAATCCCACCTTCGCCGAGTGAAGACTTGATAGCACAGGATTCTTTCACAGAGTGGTGCTGTGGCCTGGAGATATCTATTCGCAACATCTCAAGCGTTCTTTAAGGAAGCTGTAGTGTTTCTATGCAATTGAACACCATATTGCTGTGATGGATTTGACCAAGGAAGAGACTAAAGACTTCGCGACTTTTCACCGTCTTTGCATGGAAAATGGACTTTTAGAACGACCCAGGGACCTACGCACGGCAGATGTCCAGGATGGAATTAATGATGAGGTAATGCTCCTGTAAGCTTCAACTCAATAATATCCCGGTCATTGCAGTCTGTACTGACCGAAGTAGACGATCTTTCAAAGCAGGCCGCCAGAATCCCCATAGAGCCCTCCAGCAGCTCCGAGAGGCAATCAAGTTAGTGAGGAACAGCATGTCGTTCTTTTGTATACAACCATTCGAGTACACGACTTCGAAGATACGCTCAAGTTTGTTAGTCCGCCACTGTTGCCTATCTTTCTACGATGGACTAACGGGCTCTGAACTGTAGTATCCCCATTGGACGGGCCGTCGAGACAAACGTGGATTGCCGATCCTCATGGTGAATGTGGCTCATTATAACCTAGCCGCAATGGCTCAATGGCGAGAATCACGGGATGTGTCCTATTGCACTCTGCCAGACCGAACATGGCTCAGTGGACGATGTTGTTTCACGGTACATTGACCCGTTCTGTTCTGCCTCCTTGCTCGGCTATGAGTGACCGGCCGAGTCCGTCGACGCCCGTGAGCAACGCGATTTATCTCGTCGACGCATCTGTGGCCTCCGCAAAGCAAGCGTGGGATCTGAATGACTCTGCACAGGAAGTCTACTGGATATTGATGACATGTTACCCAGAGATTATTGAGCGAATCTTTGAAAGCCAACCAGCACGAGTGGGAAAGTATAGACTCATGGATTCCGGACTAGGTGCGCAACGTTGTCATACTTCTCAAAGATTTGGAACATCCTCAAGAAATGGGTGGATCCCGGTACTGCGGCTAAGGTGGTAGTATTGAAGCAATCGGCGGTCTACACGACTTTGGGAAAGTCTATCGACAAAGAGAATATTCCGACGAAATTCGGAGGGGACTTTGCATTTCCTAATGGAATGTCTGCAGACCTGGACCATGGCATTCGTCAACGCCTGCACTAAACTATACCATGTGAATGCATACCACCTGGTCCCGTGAAGCGGAGGCAAGGTGACGATGGTAAGATCGCAGTTTCTCCTGGAAGTGGAGACATGAACGTACCAAGAAATGCTGAGATTGCTTGCCTGTATTAAGATGGAAAAATGGGGTGAACGAGATGACTGGCTTTACATCACAGCCTACCAGAGACGGTGGAATATAGGAACTGTGGACCGTGTAGTAAGGAGAACGAATCCGGATCGCTGGCTAGCCCTAGTAAAGATAGTGGTAAAAATGCAGACCCACCCGCGGTATTGCTTAGGTCAATACGGAGTAACATAGTGCCGACTTAGATGAAATATTAAGATGAATGTCTCAGTTCTTGCCCCTATAGTGTGGGGAACCTGGAAGGGTATTATTGGATTGGAAGAGACAAGCTCTCGGAACTATCTACAAACAAGCGGAGCTACTACCTTCCACCCATTTCAATCATCTGTCAACCAGCTCAGTTCTTGTAGCACTTGACAGAGCTCACGCCGCTGGAGCCGATGTTGTCGTTGCCAGGGGCCTGGATATCGCCAGTGCCGCCGCCATTGCAGACAGTGGAGCTACAGAAGGTCAGAAGTTAGCCAGAAGCTTCCCAAAGCATAAACAGAGAACACGTACCTCCAGAAGCGGCAACGGTATCCATCAGGGATCGAGACGGAGTGCACATTCTGGTTAACGGGAGTGCCGTTCAGGTTGACTGTACGCAATGAGTTAGCTATCATGATGGCAGTTGGCATGGTGGGAGTGGCCACGAACAGCATTGATGCTGAGTGTAGACTGTAAAGCCTGTGCAGCCGGCCTTGTTGATGCCAGTGCAGACCTGAATGTTGACAGGCTCGTCTCTGGCCTGGAGAGGAGCAGCCTCAGCGCTGGGAGCAGCGGTGGCGCCGCCAATGGCGGTCGCGAGCATCAGGACGGCAGCAGTGAAACGCATGATGAAGAGTTGTTTGGATAGGAATTCCGTGGTCTTAGAGAAGATGGATAGCTCTTGTTCTCAGGCGAGAAGACGCTGCATTTTATACCTCTTCTTGGATCCCAGTTTCCGGCTGCAGCTTCTGACTCCATTTTCTGGCCCCCAACCTGATCCAGGTTCGCAAAGTATAGACGAGCTGTAGTCTCTGCCCACTGAGCTTCTTGAAAAGTGAGGCGCTTCATATCATGGAGATTGTGAGATGTTATCTTGCTTTCACACCGTCCGGCGGGAATTTTTCCCATTGGCCCTCTATCGTTTTGACATTCTGCCAGCCAATAGGCTGCTAAAGTTACAGGGCGGAAGGAAAATGCAAAACAGTATTTAAATGATATCGTCCCACCGCACTTGGTGGCCAGATTAGAGACTATAATAACCGAGGATGCTAAAGTACGGAGTATGCAGTATTTGGCTCCGGTCAATGTAACTTCGATGAGACATGGCATACTACTACTGCCCCGCAATCCGACGGACTCAAAGCCGGCATATACGCGCGTGAAGGATCTCGGGGTCGTCCAATTAAGTGAGGATCCGGGGTCCCTGGGTGGCAAAGGAAGACCATTGTGGTCCTGAAAAGGACAGCATCGCCTCAATTAACAAGGGTGGCATCCTACTCCTTGGAAGTGACAGGAAATCCAAGAGAAAGGGTGGTCAGTTGTGCAGGGGAGACAAGTGAAGAAAAGACTGAGCAACACTAGTGGGCCCCACGGCTCTTCCGTGGCGGACCGAGACGCCTATTCTACGGTATACGGTAAGCCTGGTACTATGGATGCAGGGCAGTGTTGAATTACTATCTGTCCTATTGGTGAGCTCATGATTGACGGCCCCATATGCTTGTTTATGCAGTATTGAATCTGGTATGGTACAGTATCATCAGGTTCATAAATTATGGGCTGTGAAACCTTTACACTATTCAAATGCATTCTTGATCTAGCTTCGGTTAATCTTGCGCTGTGCAAGGACAGTCCTCTAACTAAATGCAACCAATATGCACGGGCTCGTTGCATTAGTAGTTCCATCATGCCAAGCATGAAAAATTGACTAGCCTTTGAGGAAGTTGCCGTGAATGTGACTCTTACCATAATACGCACTATTTCTCTGGTCAAGTCTGGCGGTCCAAGCTGGGAGAAACCTTTTGATTGAAAGTCATGGCTTCGAAATCACCAAATATTCATGGTAAGGAACCATCTCTCTTCCAAGGAGAATGCATGGATTATATCGGTACACAACATAGGGTACTTCTCAGCCATGTATGTACCTTGATCGAGCACGATCCAATGAGTTTGATGGTGGCAACATCTCCCATCACCCGGTTGGGGTTCTCTCGACACATAACTGGTGCTTTGAAATGCTGATCTATTACTTCACAGACGGCCTCGCGCCATAGAATTGTCGGCAACTTCAAGGAGAATTAGATGACACTATAATCCTTATCCTAAATTCACTGCCGTCGCAGTCAATAGATATGTACTACCTTAATTTAGAGATATCTCTATCCTAACTTATTGGCTTGATTGTCGGCGCTAATATTCTAGTACGCTCTTAGTAGGTCCGTGAATCTATCACCAGTGATATTTGGGGGTAAATACTATTGTAAGATCTGAAACGTAGTGGCTCCTCTGCAAGTCCTGTATTGGGATAGGTTTAACAAATATATCGAAAGAGATGATTCCTTAGGATCTATATGATCAGTGTTGCTAATAGCCGATATATATTTCCTCTCAACAAGCTGTAGCAGCACATGTATATATTTAATACAAAGTTCTCCCCTTCCGAGCAAGATCTCGGATCATATCTCTCTATTAGCAGTTTAGCTGACCTCATGTTCTACTCGTTTCCACATTAGTAGTTGCGTTAGATGTGCAAGCTCTGTATTGAAGTCCCAGATTAGCATCCTAATCCCCGATATTCCAACTGTATATATCGACACAAATCCTTGAATACCCAGAGCACAGCAGAGCGCCGACACGATCGGAATTTGCTACTCATCTTTCATGGAAAAAGACACAGACAAGATTATTATCCTTCTTCAGCAGCAAAGAACGAGCAATGCCTTGGCGGGAATTCTTAGAAGGGAAAGACCGTAAGAATCAAGTTAGAAGGTATCGCACGGTGCGTGGAACCGAAAGTCTATCGTTGACAGAAGCTTCGAGTATCAAGTTCCTATTTATGAACCTGTGAAAAATCATGAAAAATGCATTACCAAGATATTAAACCACAGGTAATGCCTGTAGCCAACCTCGAAGCCGCAAGCCCATTATGTACCCCAATTTTGTGGATCCATCTTCTTTCATACTCTCTTTTCCATATCTCGAAGAATCTTCTCAATGTATTTGCCTGCACCGCTAAGTTTCAATATAAGTACAATAGTACAGTGAACTTTAAGAAGCTTAGAAGAAGATGGATTTATAGTAAGGCTAGGGCTGAGGCTAAGAGTCAGAGTGCGAGAGACGGGGAGCAGCCGATTATATAGAATAGGGTCTCTTTCTGTTAACTTAACTATATATTTGTTGCATCTTCCTTTAATTTGTTTAAAGAGTATCTCAAGATCACCAAATAATTGATGGTAATGGTGTGCTAAAGTTAGAGCATGTTTTGGGCCATCGACAAGATGGCTAATACAGTAATACTGGGCTTAAATATGGCCAGTATTTGGAGCATACTTTTTTTCGATTCACTTTATAATGTCAGTAGAGCGGTATAATTTCGGCACAGGAAACTCATACCAGTTCTATACCTCCAAGAAATATGGTGGCTAGAGAATAACAGAGTATATAAGCGACTTCTAAAAGCTTGAGCTCACCAGATTTGTCCTGGGGGAGATTTCCATCATCGCCTTCACCCTCCACTCCCCTCTCCTCGATATGTTTCGGGGCTCCTTTTGTATTAAACCGGTGGGCTACTACACAACAATAGTAGCCACAGACAGGGCTAGTAGCCGGCTTTCGGGTTGTTGTCGGGTCGGGTCGACCTAAACCTGCCTGGGTTCGGGGCGGGTCCTCCATCTCGAACCCGAACCCGACCCGATGCCAACCCGAGCCTCACATAGTGCAGTTCCATATAGCAATTCATGTACATTTAGATAAACTAATAAACATCATCTGCTGACTAACAGAGCTTTTTATGGGCTCAAGTGCCCTTTACCGGGTATAGTTACCAGCTTTGCATTTTTCTAGGTGGGCCCTACACTATTGTCTACCAGGTACATAACAACTGCGCGATGCTAGTAGTATCATGCTGTCACTGGTGTCTTCTTTCTGCGCTGAGCAACCTCAGTACCTCACCTGACCCTTTGGCAGTTATAAAAGAGATCGAACTCATGTTCCCCACATTCACAGTATATGGAAATCAAAGGCAGGTGAGTCGGTCATTGCCAAATGCGGCTTCAAATCGGCATTTGATCAACCCAGCTGAGCCAAGATAGTGGGCTCAGTGTCGTTCATGACAAGACAATATTTCCTCGATCATTTTGCCCGACGTGTTGCACCTATTCCTCTGTTTTAATCTTAATATATATATATTTTTTCTTTT